CAATATTTTAAAAGGAAAAACAAACATTTTCTTCTTTTTACAAGCACTTCTCAATTCCATCAAATGATGTATAAAAAAATAATCGAAAGGCTAACGTTGCGAGTCACGTACAGTATGAAATGAGAACTGCACCAACTTATAAATCAACCTAACACAATCGAACCGCATTTTGCGTTCCGCGATAAATGGGTTAAGATCATCAGCTCTAAGCTTACGAACGAAGTCTCGTTAGTACCGGTTAACGCTTTGTAACACTTCCGTTATCACTTCTAGGAGCCACTTTTCATTCATTTTTCTAAGTCATCTTCCATAGTAACTGCGCACGTACCACTTCCTATTGTTTCCCAAATGAATTCTACGGAGTTGACACCTGGCCTTTTCAGGCTCTCTGGAACCCGTTATCCATAAATCTTAAACTTTATCGTTTTTTACTTCCCCATACCTTCGATAATCGGCATCCTGCTATAAACCCAAATACCATCAATACCTATCGTCGCACAAAACCACATTCAAATGTTAAAATAATTGATTCTTCGTAACACATTTTGTACGAATCACGTAAAATTACGTTTTCTTTGTATGTTGATGCTTTTCTTTGTATATTCTGAATTTATGTATTGCTTACGTATTAGTTCGTTTTTCATATTCAATCGATAATCTGCTGCAAACAAAATGCTAGAGTGACGAATAATTACCTGCTATTGTGTTTACGTTTAGTGCAGATTAGGACATTCGAATTACATAACGATTTTCTATGTTTTTGTTGTCTATAATAAATAAGTTAATAGAAAGAAGATGACTGAATATTTTAATACTTCAGGAAGATATGAAATATTAAATAAACAAATTTTTTATCTGACCTTTGTCTAATCTTATTCAATATACGATCCTCTTTTTTCGTTGCGTTTTATAATGCTTTAAACTGTACTCCCACTTGTATTAATAATTCCACTAATTTTATTATAACTTTTTCCATTGCTATAATGATGAATTATCAACTCACGTTAACAGAATTATATTTTTATTGTTCCCATGGATTCTTAATCAAAAGAACATCATCATTATATTGTCAACAGTGCACGAGTTTCACTGACAGGATAGTTCTACATGTAACCATAATTTTCATTTGTTATACTAAGCTACTGAAGTTTCTGAAAGTTACCGAAAGTTTCGTTCTACTTTTGTAACATTTTAAATAAAGAAACATCGAATTATAATACCTATACCTGTACTTGAATCATTTATTGCAAATTTTATTAAGTGACAATCGCTGTAGTTGAAACGGGAAGGGCACCCCGTATACAAAGTACTGTAATGAATTACACGTACCCGTATACAATGTGTTAGGACGTAACTAAAACCCGTTTTCACGTTTATCAGCGTGAATAGTTTCTTCCCGCTTCGGCAAAGATAAAGTTCTACGCGTGTGTGTGTGTGTGTTTCCAAATGGAGATTTGCGCTTTCGCGACGACGAAAGTCCAACTACACACGTTTATACCTAAATCAGGAAAGCGTTGAAATTCTTTCTCTGCTCTCTTATTTCAGTCGTTACTAGTATCGCCCGCACTTTGTTATCCCGTACACCGCGTGAATGAAATTTCAACGTTTCTTGCCGGAAACGCGCAATCATGCCGAATCCTCGATGCGTCCGATAATAAATCGTTACTCTCGCCCGTCGACTCGAAGTTTACACAGAAACGCAATACGACGTAACGACCGGAAACACCGCGAAAGAAAGAAGTCGTAGAAATTGTTCGGTTCGCGTTCGGAATGCAAATGGCGGTGGAAAGCCAACGAATCATCCTTTCGATTGTCAAAGGCTCTGAACGACAAGTAACAGAAAAGACGCGACGGGAACTGTTTGGACTTTCAAACAGCGTTATTATCGAACAGCTTAAGACATTCTTTATCCTTTAGTCCTTTCAAATATTAATAGCGTAGAATTTACCGGACTCGTTTAAAAAGGAATTGTAACTTTACCACCTTACTGCCTCGCTCGACAGTAGAAGATTGACATACACTACAGACATTTACGCGACGCACACGACAATTAGTTTTCAAGGGGTATTTTGGGCCCAGATACCTTCATGTAAAATTCTTGTCTCGGACGTTCTTCTCGAAAAATGCCTCCACTGGGCGGAAAATGAATTGTTTCTTTCAAATTAAGGATGTAATTTTTAATAATGAATTTGCACACGTTACAGGACAAATAGTAAAAGACAATATCTTCTCTTAATTAAATTAATAAAGAACTTAATAGAAATAAACAGGAAATAATTAGGTATCTAATATTGATTCACGTAACTTGACAAAACGAGTGTAAAACAGGATAAACCTCTGTATTACGCAGAATGGCGGCTCATTTGAACGCCAACGTTAAACACTTTCCCATTTACACTCGTAAAAATAGCAGGTCCCATTTAAAAAACCGACGTTAGTACCGGAAATTGCAACTATCACCGTTCGATAGAGCGTACTCGAATTGGTTACGAAAATTTTTTTAGTTTTCAATAAAAATCACTCTCCGCCATTTTAATAGAGGTGAACGGGTGGTAATTTTCTGTTAACACGTTTTATCTTTATATATTCAAATTGTTGATAAATTATTGTGTTGGCAAATGGGTGTTGTAATATTTTCTATTTGCTAAATAATCGGCTTCGCGAACTTTGATGGGGAGCCAACAGGAACAAAGAAGAAGAAATATGGCCGCGTTACGTAAAACGAACGGGTGAAATTTCGCGATGTCGGTTGGTTTTTACTTCCCCTCGGACACATCATTCGGATTGGCACACACGGACGAATAATATTTACGTATGCCGGCGTAGCCGATGACTTCCTAGGTGATTGCGCGATAGCCGCAGGATGTGAGTTGCTTGCATTATCGTTTCCGTTACGGGCTCGTGGCGTTTTCTTCTGCTTATCTGGTTCTATGGGCACCTTGGTAGTTACCAAAGATTATTGATTTAACGGCTCGTGACGCTCGGGATGAAATGTGTTCCTCAGTTTGTAATCAAATCGTGCAGGGCTTTAGTAGGCCGCCATTAACCCTTTCTGTTCCAACAATTACGGTGAGTCACGAAATTATTGGCACGCTCACAAACTGATAGAAATATGAAGGGTAAACGAATGGTTTTGTTTGAAAAAATATAATGTTTAGACCATAAACTCGCGATAGTATGAAAAAAAAACAATAATATGCACCCGGTAGAAGAGCTGGAGCATATGTCAAAGTTAAAAAAAAAGAAAAATGGTCACCAAAACAGTAAACACATTTAGTACATTAAAATTTGTAAAGAAAGCTTTCTAATTTTTTCTAGTTGCACTTGATTCTTAGAGGCTCGATTATACATTATGAAAATACTTTTTAAGTATCACGAGTGCTTCACGCTACGCCAACGCCGCGATGACTCTTCATTGACAGCATCGTTATTTCATAACGACTAATGCGACCTGTCACGTCCAAGTTGCATGTTTCGTAACTGAACATAGGTCTGTCAATTAATATTTTGATACGTTCTAAGTTTGCTCCTATCAGAAGTTTCTTCTGAGCGTGACTGAATAGATTTGCGACTGAACATAGGCTGTCAATTTAAATTTTGATATGTTTAAGCGTATATACATGTAAAGTATTCTTTTTGTCATTCTTATGTATAAGAAAGAAAGAACGTCGGAGGAGAAACACATTTTCTTTTATACATATATATATAGAAAAATTAACAATTTCATGTTCAACAAACTAGTTAAGTAATTAAATGTATTATATAACACATGTTTTAAAACAATAATTCGTGTGTCATATGGAAATAAATTAGTACTATTTTCTCCAATGAACGTCGCTTAGCTTGAAATATCTAAAAATAATCTAATAACAGAGTGAGCGGTAAAAGGTGCTACTGGTTCAATAATTCGTCTAATAATATAGTATGCATATCATTTAATTGTTGAATTACTGCTGATGAATGAATATTATACAGAAATGGCTAAACATTCTCCCGCGAGCGTAACAAAAAGAAATTGCAATGGAAGAGCGACGATTGTCGATCAATTGTCGATTCTAATTGCGTAAGCGAAACGGTGAAACAAAGAAAAGAAAAAGAACGGGAAATGTTTAGTCGGTGAGTTGAATTCGTGTTCGCGTTCACGGCGACGAGACTTACCGGTCGTTGAAATCATCGACTTGAGAACTTCAACGCTCGATGAGGCAACGTCCCGCTTTGCAACGACTTTAATGCATTTCGTGCGTGATGACGTGAGTTGCATGTCTTTCAAACACCGTAACACCTAGAGCTACGCTTGCGGTACCCGCCACGTACAGTGATCGCCAAGCGAACAATAAAACGTTGCATTATTCGTGTAATTAGTCACGAAGGATTGAAGCACGATCGCAATCTGCATTAATACGTGCTCTTCGCAAGACGTGGAGATAGAGAAGATAATGGTTCATGCATTGAATCGCGAACGAAATTGAATCGGATAATGTTACGCTTCCTTGACTTAGAACTTCTCCCTTATGATTCTAGTCGCGATCGAAATTATCACGGCTCTCGTACATGTTAGGCCAGAGGTTCCCAAAACGTGGATTGTGTTCCTCTGGCTGACTGGGTGAACCACATAAACTACAGTAGCGGGCACAAAGGAGCTTAAAAAGAAGAGAGAGTACTAAAACTTGTGTAAAAAAGACCTAATATTTAAAGACAATCCTTTCGCTTTTACAGCTTATCTAATCTCGTTACTTCTCGCTTTTCTTATCGAGAGGACTACCCCAATCGTTACCCAGTCGCGAACTTATGACATGTTACGTAGAATCCAGTTAGACCACGTAGAGAAAATAGTTGGGCAACACTGAGTCGGGTGAATTGATGTTGAGAAATACGTGAGATTTTCCGCTCGAGCGTATTTCTTTTATTTAATTATCATTATTATGGTAATGGTTAACGCATTAAGACCTGATAAAAGCTGATAGTTACTTGATAATAACGACGTCTATATCGGATTGCAGGCTGCAATGGCGCCGGATGCGGTTACCCTGGAGCACCTGCGCACAGTAGTGTTCGCTTCACGGGAACCGACGCCCAGGATGTCATAGACGAGGAAGATGCTCTTCTTAAAGACACAATACTACCCGAGGGTACTGTAGCCACCTACTCTTGCGAACGAGGCTTCGAACTCCTCGGACCGGCACGGAGACAGTGTCAGACCGATGGTTCTTGGACACCGGAAGGAGTACCATTTTGTGGTAAGTGTGCACTTCTTTTTAAATACACGTCGATCACCGTCGCGGAAAAACGAGAATTGTTTACGTTGTAGAAATTTACATTTCTACGATTTCTCTGCCCCTTGTCGATAAGTAGATAAACATCATTGGAATTATTAAAATTTATTGTCTTACAATTGTGACCTCGCGCTTTGTATTGCCATCCTCGCAGTATTGTAATGTATTCAAAATGCACAATTGTTCAGGATTTACTTATGCAGATACTGTCACTCTAAACTGTTTTACTTAAAATACCAAATAAACAAATAATTCGCGGAGAAGTTATTGTACACGTATGTAACAAGAAGGTAAATACGTTTGCGGATGTGGGCTTAAGAGAAAGTTCGACCGTTCCGGGGAAACTTATGCACGCTTCCGGTCACGCCTCTACGAAGTGTTTCAAAAACTCGCGAAACATTATTTTTAGAAATGGGATTTAGTTGTTTGCTTAAAAAACAGTGGAACCTTCGATATATCCAACACCCAAGTATTCTACTATCCGAACGTTGTCTGTTATGCAAAAATAAAGTGCACTTATTGCAATATGTTTAACCTTTTGTTAGAAACTTTTCTTGAAAATTAATTCTGATCGCAAAAACTTAATACAAATAATACTGAAAACAGTGATATAATGACAATTCGTACATCGAAGAATAAAAGTTGCATGCCATCGAGAATGTTGCAATTACTGAAGAATGTATATATTAGAAATCTTAAGTGCTCTTTATAAAAAGAACTTAAATCGTACTAGAATCAACTAAAAATTTGTATTTTTTATCTTTCTTTAGGACCCCGAAATTAAAAAAAAAATATGAAAAATAGATAATCAAACTTCAAAGCGGTACCATGTTTTCAATTATCGACTTTTTTCTTTTCTTCTAGTACCTGGTATAGTAGAACTCACACTAATTAAGAATCTTTCACGTTTTTTCCTTTCGAACAAACAAAATGGCTGAAATCATGGATACCGTGAGACGACCTTTTATACAATGGCACCAATTTTAATTTTTTTTCATCCAAAGAATTAAAAACTGTCGTCGACATGTGTACAAATAAACCCTGTAAATTGAACTGCAAAAGATATTACAGTTTACTTGCAAAAAATTCCCCAAGAAAATCTAAAAAAACGCACTTCACAGTAGAATACCTCCTTAATTGGTAAGCAAACTAAAGAATAAATAGCTGAACCCGCAATGGAGACTGTAATAATTAAGAAATGTCTTATGATATGTGATCTATGAATAGTTAATAGACTTGCAGGTTCAACTACTTATCTAGATTGCACTAATTAATAAATTGAACGTATGAAAAAGAAAGATATTACGTAATGTTTCAATCGACAAGTAGTGCATAACGGATCATTGAATGAGAACAAATTGGTTTCCATGATCGAATAGTGAAAATAAACGTTGAAAAAGTTTTTGAGATGGAGAAAGGTGTAGGAAGGTTTCTTTTGAATTGCTGAATTTTCATAAGTAGAGCGTCACGATGACTTTATTCTCGGGATCTGTTATCTTCGATGGGCGCTATAAAATTTTGGGAGGTAAGTGACCTGATTCTGAGTGTCCTTGACCGAGGAGACCGAAGACAGTAGAAGAAATACCGAGGATAGTGGGGGCATAACACCGTTAACTCTGAACCTGTTACCTCCTATGAACGCCCGCGGCCTTCCTAACGTCACGCGCATTCCTTACATTGGTTGACCACATCGTCCTTCCCGGTCCAGGTCAGATTTATTTCCTCTCCCAAAGTCCCGACATTCCGGAGAAAAATATTATAATCCAAGAAACACGTTATAATAGTGATGTACAACGTATCTATAAGTTCTCAACATCGACGACCACCATTGTGATCTCGTAATAATTAGCAATTCGAATGCAATAAGTGATAATAAAATGAAAAAAAAAGGTTCTGTATTAAAGTCCTTTTTCTGAGTTTAACGTCACATCGACTAGATGAAACTTTGTAGGCATGTAAAAACAGTACACCCCATCTCGTTTGACATTTTCTTCCCCCTCCTTTGGCGAAGCCATTACATCGTCGATACAAAACTTCTTTGATTTTTTATTAAAATGTAGTTGAACGGTGTTCCCTAAAATGTTTACATTTTCAAATTGTTTACCCACTAATTAACATGGAAGTTGTTGTATACGCTCCATTTATTATCTTCAGTCATTAAGTGGTTTAGGGAAGGTTTAGTGTTATTATATGCTAAGTGCAACGTGGATCTCATACTTCGAACTTTGGCACAACAATTGTTTCAAATTTCAATCGATTGCTGATGTTGATATACTTAAAATTTCGAAAATCGTCTGAACTAATTTTCTTCTCGTGTATCAAAAACCATTCAATTTTTGTTAAAACATTTGTTCCTGACCCTAACTGTTTCCGAGTTAGCACTTTCGGGATGAAGCTTTAGAGAGTGGTTTCATCCTTTCTTGTTAGTAACCAGAGGTGTCGTTTTATGTTCGTGGAAATTATTAAATGACTTTTTACGTAGCTCGTAAACGTGGCTAATGCCGTTTTTACAATCAGACCGAAGAAAAGAATTAGAATAAATATAACTGGTGAACGCGAGCATTTAAATTTGATTGCGTGGAACGCAAGGGTTTAAAGGCGATAATTAGAGCTTTTATGGGTGGCACAATTTCAAGGAAAATAAGTGAAAGTTAGTGTAAAAGTTACAGAGTGTAACCAGAGTCTAAACACGGAGAATCCGATTTTATTTCTTACCTACCAATGAAAAATACGTATACATATAATTGGCGAAATAAACTAATAATATATTTTCGCGGTAGAGGTGAATAAATAATTTTAAAACAATTCATTTCCTTAAAATTTACAAATAATGATTATAAAAAAATTTAGGCTAGTTTATTCGTTTATATTTTATTTCCTCTTTCCTGCGTAAGAATAACAATAAATTGAAATTACTTCGTTAAGTGGGATGAAGCACATGAACTTAAAAAAAAAGTTTCATATAAAGATTGTAGTACCTATAGAGGAAAATTTCACTATATTTCAGTCTCTATACAATTAAAAAAAAAAGCACTTGACAAAATAAATATAAAAAATTATATTCGACATTTTTACAGACTGAAACTTCTGTGCAGCAGTTACAAGGCGTCGACCTCTATAGAGAGGATGATGATTCTGATACAAAACGTTTGAAACTATTTGCAGAAATCCGATTTTAATTGTAAAAGTAATTCTATCATATAGTTTACTTCCTAAGGCTACAAACGTAATGATTTTAATCGAAGCAAGCATCAGGCCAAATTGAAATATAAAAAAAGAATCGCGTTCCGACAGAATGACTCGAGCTAGCTCAAAGCAGCTTCGACGAAACGCATAGTTTAGTCAGGGACAGTTGAAATTACGGTATAGGCGCGATTACGTATCCACTTGCTCGCGAGCGGGAAAAGAGTTTACCTTCGAAAAGTCAAGTTCACGCATAAGTGCGTAAGTGGCAATCTGTTCTTGTGGTTGGCAGAAAATTGCGAGAAACTGCAACTCGAAGGCTAGGAGAGCAATTTCGCGCGATGATTGTGATTTCGTTCGCTTGTTTATACACGGGGACAAAACGGGGACGCGACAGACTAATCGTAACCAGTGATTTTCTAAAAGAATGTCGATTTAAAAAATTACGCGCGTTTCGTTCGTCGCGTAAACGGTGAACGTTATTATTTCGATCAACCGAAATTCATTCCAATAAACACTATAATTACTATTTTTTTATATGATTCCTCTCATTTACATCTGTGCAAAGTATATGTCGAATAAATTTCGTTGGTAATTTCTTTATTAAATATATTAAAAAAATATTGGACATTTGTGTGTTTTCCAATTGTCGTAAAAACGTGGACTGATAAAAGTTTTATGGGTTTCAATGCTTTCTGTCCTGAAAGGTCGTGGAAAAGTCACTCTTAATTTTCGTCTCGTTTTAATAATGCTCTGTACACGAGCGATTGAAATGTTCAATTTCAGTTTGAGAAATGTTTCGAAGAACGTGGAGACAGTTCTTGTGGTCGTCGATGCGTATCGACATCGTGCTTCTAATTCGTGCTATAGCGACCTACTTCCAAACATTTCGAAGCGCCACTTCGGCCTCTCCTTGGACCAGTTTTGTTGTAGCGTGGCTGTTCGAACAAGACTCCTTTGAATAAGTAGTAAGTCACAGTACGCAGTCCGATACAATTAGGCCACCACGTTTTTCGACAATTTTTTGTAAAATGAATCAAATATCAGGAATGAAAGGTGTTTAGGATTGATACAACGACTAAGATCGACGGGGACGTGATTTCTCTCCTATTTTTCAGATTAAGAATCTTAAGTTTATGAAAATGTCAACATTTTAATCAAAAAGTTGAAATATTGCTTCAAGTTGTAATACAAACCTTAGCACGAACATACGGGACGATCTAATATTATTTTCACATGCTTAGAAAGTTCTATCTAAATCCAAATCGTTCGCGACCCTTCCTTATAAGCAATGGATGTCGTTCACCAAATGCGTAACGCTATACTCATTATTGGACCGCGGTTCTTTATGCAAATTAATAGTCTTATTAATAGAGCTAATGAAATGGAAGCTTTGTAGAATAATTTGCTAAGTAGAAAAATTTTATTATTAAATATAATAATTCTTATCTCACTTTAAGTATTTCTTATATTTTTGCATATTAATTGCATTCTATAGTTTTCTTTTAAATTTAAATTTGTTGTAAATGCATTAATATTCGCAGTCTACTTATTATTATGCAATCGTTTTATTTTAGTAACAATTACATTCCAGTCGAGCGATCATGTTATGTGAAATTCCTTGAATCACCGAACATTAGAAATATTTTATAGCGTGTATTGCATGTTATACGGTAAATAAATTTTTGAAGACATATACATACGCTCTTACAAAAGGCGTGGCATCATAGCGAGGGAATTATCTTCGTTTTAATAACACTTTCATGCTGTGAGCAAATTCATGATTAATACGCTCCACCTTCAGCCTCGCTACGGGCATAGAAATAGAAAATATATTAGTATCTTGCATATGCGTGACCACTAACTCATTATACGACTCGCTTTAGAAAAATTGAACTGTTACAATCAACTTATTATGGCTTAAGCGCTCGAGTGCTTCTTTGCATGCAAAATTTGTATACAGTTGTAGTCTAATTGGTACATACAACTATGTATGTGTATTCGAATAACGTGCATACCAATACATCGCATATAAAAATGCGTACAGTGGAACGTCGATTAATCGAAATCTCTATTTTTATTTATACAAGGTGAGTGTCATAACACCATTTCAAATAATTCATGAATTACTTATTATACGAAAAAATATTTCACATAAAAGTTGCATGATTTATAAGAGGCCATATAGTACTGTAATCGGTTTTATGTTATTTTGCTTCTTTATCAAGGTATGGAAATTTAGTTGTCCAAATGAAATGATTAATTGCACTATCTTTTTTCATTTTCTACATGCATATATTATAAGCGGGTAAATTAAGATATTAAAGACTCGATTAAGACCTCTAAAAATGGCATCGCCAGATAAAACATTTTGTTCGTACGGCCCTGACTATGGTCTAAGGCCCTTAGCCGCTCGTATTTCTGTCAATTCACTTGTTTCGGGAGCTGAAACGTGTAAACTTTGACACCTACTCGAGTTTACAACCTCGCTATATTGTGTCCCGAGCTATACCAGAAAGGAAGCGCATAATGGACTTCAAAGACCTATTGTCGTAACAAACTACGAACAATTTCTGATCATCCTTTCAAAAATCGTACAGCAAGGGCACCGTTTTCCTTTGTTCGATCTAGCGCCGTCGAATAGTATATTCGAGACGAAACCTTTCGTAATGGCCCGTATATGAAATAACTGTAAATTATGACGTCGTCGCGTATGTAGTGCTTGTGGGAACGCGCGCGGCATACGCTAACTCACAAGAGTCGGTATGTAGGTTTAGGTCGAGAACGCATCAATTACGCGTTCTGTGTGGATCGTGTGTACTTATGCACGAATAGAACGTCGATTGGTTCTTTAATCGGTTTCTTTCGTAGAACGCGCGTGAACGCTTCGAAAGTTCGAATTCTTTGACTTTTCGATCGACTTTCGACACTGAATATTCACGATCCCACCACTGGCTGGAATAGTCTCACGAGAATCGAACGCCTATCGCCAGAATTCTGGACTTGCAATGGAAATATTCAAAAACAAAATAAAAAATAGTCCTACAATTTAATAATTTTTCCTTTAAATTTATATTTTTGAAACGACATTTTTGCTCTATGTTTTCTATTTCGTCAGTGGTAATATCAAATTAAATGTTTGCACACATTACGCAACCCACAAGAACATAATGTCATTTACTGGTTAAGAAAATAATTTCTAACGAAAAAGAAATAACTTTTTGTGCAAAATTAAGTACTGCCTTTTTCATTATGTTAGTTGCACTTGTACTTGTATGTTAGAATTTTTTGTGTATAACTTTGTATGGTTTATTTGGTATTTTAAGTAAAACAGTTTACAGTGACAGTATCTAAGTAGATGGCAGTAAATAAACCCTTTACATTACATGGACATTTTAAAAAGAAATTTGAAAGAAAATTCTGAACAATTGATCACTTTGAATACGTATTAATATTGTGAAGATAACGATACAAAGCACAGGGCCACAATTGTAAGACAATTATTACTGTATAATTGTTCTAAAATCATCGAGATTTTCAATTTGGCAATACGCATTGAAAATAATCAAGACTTAGAAAATGCATTGATCAAAGGACTGCAGAAAGTAAACATGCAACAAAATATTAAATTTATATATTCGTTACGCTGACGTTTATGTTTTCTGAATGAAAACGACCACTTTTATTATTTCATAGATCTTTTCATTCCCCAGTCATATTTGACAGAACAAAATATTTTTCGATCGATTAAAAATGCCTTTTGTTCTTGTTCGATGAATTTTAGCATTTTAACTAAGAAACTGAAAAGCTAAGAAACTAAGAAACTAAGAAACAAACAAACTATGAAACTATGAAACTTAGAAACTAACAAACCAAGAAACTAACAATCCAACAATCTAACAAGCTAACAAACTAGCAAACTAACAAACTAACAAACAAAGAAGCTAAGAAATTAAGAAACTGAAAAACTAAGAAACTAAGAAACTAAGAAACTGAAAAGCTAAGAAACTAAGAAACTAAGAAACAAACAAACTATGAAACTATGAAACTTAGAAACTAACAAACTAAAAAACTAACAATCCAACAATCTAACAAGCTAACAAACTAGCAAACTAACAAACTAACAAACTAAAAAGCTAAAGGCGAATTAACGAGAGTGAGTAGTAGACGATCATCGGTGAATAAATTAGTGACACCGATTTAAGGGGTGATCTCGTTCGCGGCGTGTCGTGGACTACCGACATTGAGGCAATGCCAGTTAGCGCCGATAAAATTCTCACGTTACGGTACAGTAAAACTACCGCAAGACCGGCAATTTCTTCGCGAATGTGCAGCACTTGCCGTATACGAAAGTTTGCGACCGAAGAGCACATCTGCGTGCCAAACGGCTATTCACCCGTGTAACGTAACTCATGCCCGACCTTCTTTTTATTTAATGGGAATGGCAATGAGCTACTAAGATTTTCTCAGAGTCCCGCGGCATCGTCCTTCGACGATACGTTCGATTATAAACCAAGCCGTGCCGAATGATTGGAAACAGTGTCTTATTGCATTCCTCGATGTTATCGCGTACGATGAATCATCGTCTTGATTAGGCTCGTCGAAGTGATTCTGTCGCGGAAATGGATATTAAAGAACAACGAGTACTTTTAATTAGACGTTTGGAGAATTCGTTAATATTCGAATCATCGTAATTAAGACTGTCGAGTAAACTAGAGCATCAGATACCGGCATTATTAACTGATGCCACTTTATAGTCAATCGGGCTCCTTTCTATTTATTTAAATACTTTCGATTTTTTTGCTTTGCGATCGACTTTCCAGTTTGTTTACAAACGAGTTACAGGTATTGCGACAATAAAAATTGTGAACGAAGCTGACTCGAAATAGATTCAATTTTACTTGAAACTCATCGCTTCCCATTTAGTTATACGATCTGCGTAACAGATTAATAGAGTGTAATCACGAGATAGTAATGAACGAATTAAGATCTAGCGTAACCTGTTTTCGTGCGAGTATAGCAGTGCTTTGAAGAAACCATACGTGTGTTGTTGATATAACGACGTTTTTGCACATAGCGAGCACGTGTTGCGAGTTTACGAGTACCGCAATTCGGGCGGGGCACTTTGCGATGCATAGCAATAAGTGCAGCGGATAACTAGGAATGCAACAAACCGCACAAGGGATGAACAAAAAGAAACTAATCTCTGTTTCCTGTCACGTGCCTTGTGCTTTATTTCTTAACCGTGTAAACGAGAAGGACGAAAAGAATGTTTGGTATTTGTTACGTTTTATCAGAAATTTTTGATCACAAAATATCTTTCTTGACTGCTTAAAAGGGGAGTTTCGCGCGATAACATTGAAATTAAATACTTAAACAAATTTTTTTAAATTTTCACCTAAAAATTGTACTATATTGACATTTTAACAACATAAAAAAAATCATCAAACTGCTGAGAAATATTTATTTTTGACCAATTTCTGTTGCTCGTACTGAAATTAATAATTCACTTTGATGTGGATTGAATGTGAAACCGTAAAAAAATTCAAAGAACTAAAACAGTTCTAGTGTTTACAAGAAAGTTTTGCTTTCTTTGTATTCAAATTTTATTAATCGATTAATTTTTTAAATTAACCTGCATACCAATTTAAAAAATACGATTTTGAGAAAAACACATAATAATTTCAAAAAATAAAAACTATATAGAATTAACTGCATGATAATGTCGCTTATTTAAATATTATAACACTTATGTCATTTCACCTTTGTACAAAATGTTTAAAACACACTTTTGCACACTTACGCATTTACCTAGAAGAAACTATTTACATTAAATTACTTCCACCTGAAAACAAAACAAGTCACGTTTGAAACATTTTTGAATAATGAACAGTTCGGGAAATGATTGTATTTAGAGATTAATAGATATTTTAAGAAAGCAATTTGTTATCGTAATTTTCTGTTGCTCTTTTGTTATAGTTCTGAATGTTGCTGGAGGTAAAGCACCGATGCAGTCGAGCAGCTCGGAGGGTGGAATTCCGCAGCGAGCTGTTGATGGTAGCAGCGGTCAGATTTACACCCCACAGACTTGCACTCTCACCAGACCAGAACACAGACCATGGTGGTACGTGAATCTACTGGAGCCGTACATGGTGCAACTGGTGCGCTTAGATTTTGGAAAACCATGCTGTGGTGAGTAAAATTGAAATCATTTCTTTTCTAGATACGTGTAATGACCAAAAATGATGTGTAATTGACCCCCGAAACCGAGAACGATTTGAAAAGTTTTTTTTTGTCGAAAAATGTCAGCACTTACACGATTTTTTTTCTCGTAAATGGATAGGATTTCAGAGGTACGTGTGTTCACCAAAAATGATTGTAATTGACCCCTGCAAAAAAAAAATAATTTCTTCAGAATGATTTGAAATTTTTTAATTTAATTGTTAATAACTTTTTAACGAAGCCTCAGTCAAGAATTGTATTCTATTGAATTGGTTTGTATCCTTCGGAGAACCTTGATTGCTTTTGTCTTAAGAAACCTAGAAGTGGACTTTGCAATAATTGTGTTTAGATGGAAGTTAAACGATTGTGGCACAAATTTTTTACTACCTGAGAACTATGTAGGATCAGGATCCGAGTAATAACTGTAATGGCAAATTCAAGACCAAAATGTGCCAGCAACTTTAAACTCTGATCACCTTTTCATTGCGAAATAAACATGTGATAAGTTTACACAAATACGATAACGAGTTGTTAAAATTATATTAAAATTATAGGTCGTTCACAAATTACGTAATGGGAATTTGAAGATAAGAAATACTAAATATTATTTGCTACTTCGGTAACATAAAAAAAATAAAATATTAGATCAGTTTAAAATGTTATTAATAGAGATTTTCAAAGATTACATCGGAGTTTAATTTTAAGATTCTTCTATTCTTATTTGTTAAGAGTTTTATTATACATATATTCATATTATAGAGAGTGCTCGGCCATCCCTGGGAAAAATTTTAATGGGAGATTCTAGAGGCCAAAATAAGACGAAGATCAAGAATATCAATTTCTTGACTGACGCTTCGTTAAAAAGTTATTAACAATTAAATTAAAAAATTTCAAATCATACTAAAAAAATTATATTTAGTTACAGGGGCCAATTACAATCATTTTTGGTGAATAGACATACTCCTGAAATCCTACTCAGTTTCGAGAAAAAAATTCGAGAAGGTGTGAAATTTTTAGTCGAAATTAAAAAATTTCAAATCATTCTGAAAAAATTATTTTTGGTTACAGGGGTCGATTACAAGCATTTTTGGTGAATAGACATACTCCTGAAATCCTACTCAGTTTCGAGAAAAAAATTCGAGAAGGTGTAAAATTTTTAGTCGAAATTAAAAAATTTCAAATCATTTTGAAAAAATTATTTTTGGTTACAGGGGTCGATTACAAGCATTTTTGGTGAATAGACATACTCCTGAAATCCTACTCAGTTTCGAGAAAAAAATTCGAGAAGGTGTGAAATTTTTAGTCGAAATTAAAAAATTTCAAATCATTCTGAAAAAATTATTTTCGGTTGCTGGGGTCAATTATAATCATTTTTGGTCATTAGTCATACCCTCAAAATCCTACTCACTTTCGAGAAAAAAATTCAGTACGGACGGAACTTTAAACGTTAGTAACTTTTTAACGAAGCCTTAATCGAGAAATTGATATTGTTGATTTTCGTCTTATTTTGGCCTCCTGAATCCCCCATTAAAATTTTTCCCCAATGATGGTCGAACACCCTGCATAAGAGAGTCAACGTACTGGTTCTGCTTAACGAAGCGAGTGTTTAAATTTATTCTCACGATGGGCAAAATTATTCATATATAAGTAAACGCCTATTAATGAGGCTGCTTATGGATAATTTGTTTTGAATCGTGGGTGAAACTGGGCAGAATCCGTAAAGAGTTGTACGCGATTCGCTGTGTTTAGAATTCAATTCTTACAATGAAACGAACGTTCGACCGCCACTTTCGTTTCAATGGCTCGGTCGCCTGGCTTTCTATCGCTAAACTGGTATTGCCGTCAATTACGAGTAGCGGCGGTGCACTGTGAGCGAACAATTTCACGATTCGATATCGAGAGGCAAGTATAATGCCGAACAAGGTGAGCATGAAACGCTCCGTTAGCGTAAACAACGGATCGCCACTCTCCTTCCTATTGAAAAGTGTAATGGATTGTGTCTTCGTTACAATTCCCAGACCATTATCAAATGTCAGAAAATGGATTCCACCATGATTTACACGGCAAAAATTAAATTACAAAAAAATTGAAAGCTACAATTGGAAACTTGTAACTCGCCTATTCTACTCTCTGAATCGTATAACAAATGATTTGGAATTGCTTTTCTTTCCGTTTTTAACGTAATGAATAAAGTTGTTGAGTAAATAAATTATTGGTTTGAAATGGTGAATAATAATTTAAATTAACGCTTATTAAAGAATTAAAGATTCTATAAAGGTATACGAAATACAGTTTTACACTCTCTGCGTAAAAATAAATCCAGTTTTTTATTTCGTAAAATTCATTTTAGTTTGATAAGAAGATATAGATAGAAAATAACATTACTATGATTGTGCAAAATACCAAAGCAGGTATAGTTACATTATACAATCGCGGTATAGTTCTTAATTGCGGACAAATAAATTGCGTCTAATATTGAGCCAATTGTTTTAAAATTATAGACAAATGAATTGTATTTAATATTTTACTATTATCGATATTATTATCAAACTAAACTAATTAATAATTAACACGGTATTAATTACTCTTCTCGGTAATAATTTTTATAATTGATGTTTGTTTTAACAATTTCACTTTGATATTTTTCCAACTTCCTAAAATTTGTGCAATTACATTCGTGAAGTCTGCTCGTTATAAAGAGGAACAATTGTATGAGAATACGCGTAAATTAACATCATTATGACTTTTTGCTCGTTAGAATCATGATTTCGCTATATTCAAGCTCGTTATAACGAAGTACTACTGTTTATCATTCACCGTGAAAATGGTAAACATTGTAAGAATAGTAACTGTAATTGACTTCAGTGGTAATGAAAACAGCAATTAATGAAAGTATAATGAGGTAAAATAAAATTTAAACGATAAGAGAATAAACAAGAAAGGTTCGTAACTTCTAGCTACTTTGTGTCATAATTAAATACCTTTGGAGTATTTATAAAGCTGTGAAATTGACTAATTCTGCCAAAATAAAATAGCATACACTTGATTCAAATAAAACTCATTTAACATATATAGCATTATTAAATTAATTGTTATTTTAATTAAAAATTTTCATAAAATATTTTTACACATGTATGTTTTTTGTAATAATTATTATCGTATTGTTTTTATAATATATTAGTAATAATATTAAGAGTACAGTATGTAAAACATTATTTCCAATTAGCCAGGTCCTGTATTGTAAATACTACATAGCATGAATAGAATAGAACGTTGTCTTTTTTTGATTGCATTACTTTCATCGTACCATATACATATGTTACTAAATAGTGCACACGCATGTATTATTGATAATTTAATTCGCGATTATAAATGCCACGAATCGTGCAAAAGATCCTTTTTTTTCTCTTCGGAATATAAATTTCTGCCTTGTTATTTAGAAACCTGGTAGACATTTGAATCATCGAACATGGCTTCGAACATTTGCTATGTAGGATAATTTTCATGAACTATTAATTAGAAAGTTTATATATCTCTGGAACTGTCAGTTCGCGATCAAATGCTGTTGGCTGTGACTTTTTATGTTTCCCTCGGTGAGTTTTATCTAGATCTGAAGCGTATACAGTAGCATCTTGTTTACCCAGATCGCAATTAATCGTGATTTGCCTACTGATCACATATTAAGTAAAAAATATGCGAAAAGATAGACAAAACAGTCTAATATAATTTATAATATAGGACCAATGCCAAATATTATTCGTTAATGTCGAACAATGTTTTTTTTCTTAATTATTAAATTAATAAACAAAAATTGAGATTTTGAAAGTAGTATCGTTTTCTTCCTGCACCAAAAACACGAGTTTTCAATAAATAAATAATAAAAACGATGCAACGAAGTCATAGTTGATCATCTTTTCGCCTACATCTTCTAAAAGTGACGAGCTTATTTCTTATGTGAAATACATTTTTAATTACTTTCCCTCGGTCGTCCGATTTAAACCGGTTGATCAAGATCTCGCTGTACTCGCTGTTTATTTACACCCTTTGTGATAGAAAATAGGTACTTTCTACCTGAAAAGTGTGTCGATGCGATTAATGGTCGCGACCGGAACGTAAAATAAGATCGTGTCTTTTAAATTAGCCATAAAATACGGCCGTAAATTTGCGCATCTATCTGTTTCGCCCTATCGGAGACCGTAAATATTAGTCGCACGCGAAAAGTTTTAGAAACTTTCCAGAATGAAAGTAAGAGTCTTTTCACTTCTCGCTGTCGGGCAACGATGCAATTCTTATACTCGTGCTCTAACGTGAATTTACATTGCAGCCTTGGACAGATGTAATAAATGTATGATTAATTCTATAGAGTCCAGAAGGCTTGTCGAGTCCAACGCTCAAAACTTCTTAAAAATATGCTATTCATTCCGTGTAAAATATTTTCGAACAATTATTCATTGTCATTCATTCATTGTCATTGTATTTAGAATTTCATGTTTAAGAATCGGTTTAATTTAATTTATTAAGATATCAACAAATGAAAAGCGTAAAAAGTTTATCTTCAACTCTGGAAAGAAAACAAGGATACAGAAACAATATAACGATCAAAATTGATTCATATTTAAGTTAGAAATCCATACTGAAAAGTACAACGCAGAGAGATGACTATAAATATGCTCACTTTTGTATCTAATGCATCCAATTCTTTTCCGAGGTTTGTTTGACGAGTAAAATTAAAATTGCTCGAATATAATAACCAGTGCACAATTTAAAACTGTAATGCAACGCTGAAATATTTGAAAACCTATTAGAACAAAATAATTCCCTAACGTAAATATATAAAATATCTCGTTTTTCAATGATCATACCTCAAAGCTTTTACGTGCAAAATGACAAGAAAAGAAAAGATTTTTTTATGCGAAAAAGACTCCACGATTCCATTTACAAGGTAAGTGCAAGTGCGTGCACGTCATCGAAAGATTGTCCCCATTGCAGGGTTCAACTTTCTCCTATGCCTTTTTTTTTTCTATCCTCGTTTAGAAAAGCGTTTGGCCCAGTTCTTAGAATCACCCTAGATACCAAAAGAATGAACGATTCGATGCGCAACAGTCCGATCGCGGTGAAATAATCAATGAATAACGATCAGTGTTTACGCAATGAACAATAACTATAAAAAGGATTGATTCTACAATGCTACTCGAGATTTCTTTTACAATAACTCGTTCGCGATACCGTTTATTTTATTCCTTTCCTGTTACAAGTTTCGTCATTCAGTCGTGCTCGAGGGTAGATTTATTTGCTGAAATTTAACAACGGTCTAAATGACTGATCAAACAGGAGAGAACTTTCACCGTTAAACGAAATGCTAGATAATAGTGCCGACCGCGCAGTTTACGTGGAAATAAAGAGTGAGAGTACTCTGTTATTCATGGAAAGAATTTTGCTAGCTTCTTCCTGGAAAAACATTTTCACCATTTCACGTTGCTTTTCGTGCTACCTTATCCGATCAACTCTTCTGCGTTTCTACGTCAGATATTTTTTTTTTCAAATAATTGTTACCTTTTGTACATAACATGTATGTACACTCGAGGAAAAAGTCTGACTGCACTGGATATGATTATAAACGCTAAAATGTGCAATTTCAAGATTCCTCGATTAAAATCTTTTACTGGACATGTTTTATTCATGAAAATCACCTTTCTTCTACTCAGTCTTCCAATTTTGTACAAGATTATTTCGACGAATAACACAAAATCTATATCTATTATACAACTTACGTATAATAGGCCAAATTCATACAGTAATTCAAAATTAGTTTTTTTTTTTTGTATATCGTATCGAGGATACTGCTGACGAACAGTAAGTTTCGAATTTTTCAATTTCATAGAAAATATGTGTTCAAATTGAAACACACTTAAGCTTTTTAATTTTATTTTCGATTCATCCATATTTGTTGATGTATCGATTAAAAAGACATTTCGTAAATTATGTGAATACGTTCGAATATGTATACACTTTCGTTACGTTTTGATTATGCGTTTAGACGTTGCACGTTGTGCGAAAAGAAAAGTGATTCTGCATCGAACAATACAACTTTCTTTCGGTTTCTGCTCGGACGCTACCAGACTAATATTCATAAAAACGATCGTCACGATCACCCTTGCGTTTAGCCAACGGATTTACGTGCACGATAACCATAATTGAATATGGCTGATCGTTTACAACCACCTTGATCGCGTTGGTAGGAGAAGTAACTTTCACAATGCGCCTCGCCGATAAGAAACCATCGGCAAAGTGTTTTAATTGCACGCGAGATCGGTTATCGTTTACTACCGCTCGCATTTCCGGCAAAACGGAAAGAAACTCGATGGGTATCGTACTATCACGACTCCCGGATCATCGTGTGTTCTTTTCGCAGAAAAAACTTTCGATCGAGACGATTACGATTACCGTTGAACGCGATGGGCGTTACTCAAACGCGTCTCACCAAAATCGTTCGTGCACAAGTTCATTCTTGCGACATTTAACGAGATAAGATTTTTCTGTCGAACAAAACCGTGTACTCGTACGCGTTAGAAACGCTAATATCAGGTGTCGTGATATAACCAGAGAAATTTCTTTGCGCCGACAGGGTCGTGGTACCTTCTTTATGTAAATAAGAAATTGTCGCAATTCCAAAGACGATTACAAGGAACGAAACGTGGAAAGCATGTAATTGGAGTTCATGGCTGTGGACGGCTGTCTATCTGGTTACACCTGGAATACTTTCCAGGTCAGAAGATGTAGTCTTCGCCGAGCTGCGGATTAACTCAGACGATATTATCAGCTCAAATGCTACGTTTACAGTTGCCCACTGTATGAACACAATAGTCCGAGTTGTAAGCGAAAGTGGGTTCTATTTAAAATTCAGTTGCCAGTAAAGTGTCTCCATAAAAATGCATAAACATACAGATTTATAAGCTGTTTTCCCGAGAGAGAGATACAATTTTTTATCCTTTTCCCGTTCTTTTATTACAGGCGATGGCGTACCCGGAACAATCGTTGTCCGTGTCGGCAATAATCGTCCAGACTTGGGAACGAATCCAATTTGTAATCGCTTTACCGGACCCCTCGAGGAAGGACAACCTCTCTTTCTTCCCTGCAATCCACCAATGCCTGGAGCTTTCGTTTCTGTGCACCTGGAAGCGAACACACCAGCGTCGATACCGGTGCAGCTTTCACTGTGCGAAGCTTTCGTCTACACTGATCAGGTATGATATTTATGACCACGCAACCAATGCATTTTAATGCATTTTTAGATACGTAAAACTTTCAAAATTTATTCGCCATTTGGACGCAATTAGAAAGAGGACGACAAAAACGAATATTTCGATCAATGTTATTTTTACGTTGTTGCGACCTTTTGTTTGTTTATTATATGTTTAAATGAATTGTTTTGAAATTATCTTTCGTAATCCGTATTGTTGATGCAATATTGTTATAATTTTTGGCTCAGACGAGATATACGAGTAGACCTTTTATACCTTATGAACTCTCGTGACACAATCTGATTGCCACCCTGGTAATTCGAAGGTGATTTTAGTTTTAATCCATTGAAGCTATTCACTAAAAATAAAAAGCGAATTTTTAAGAAAAATCGACTGGGTATAGGTGTAGAAATTTTTCGACAAAATTAAATTTCATGCATACATATGTTTAAAAAATCGTAACTCCTGAACGAATTGAAGGATTTCAATGTTTCAAAATGCAAACAACGCGTATTTTAGTGAAGAATATTTTGAAATTCTAAGAATGTTCGAAAAGTTATTCCTTAACCCCGTAAAGTAAGAAAAACCCGATAAAAATCGTCGAAACTTCGAACGGCCATAACTCCTACAATAGCGAATGTATTTCATTGGAATTTGGTAGGGAACTGGAGCTCATAGATACCTAAAAAAAAGTGCTAAACAACTTTTCCGTACAGGGTCAAACAAATTAATTAAAAATGTAATGTGTAGATCTGTAAATTCATAGTAGTTTCAGCAGGGTACAAGATTTTTCTAACTTTTGGGGACTGTTTGAATTAGGAACATTTTTTAGAATACTATCATCTTCGCGTTCTCACTTGCATTATCATATAGAAGAATCTCCAAGGGAATTAAACTTGGGAATACGAAAGTAGAAGGTTCAATCTTTAAAATAAAACCAGAAAGATTATTGGATGACTTCTATTCTTCCAATGGAATTCAAAATAGTTGGAATAAAATATAGAAATAGTTGTTCGAAGATTAACAGCGAGTGTTTTGATGTTTATGATCAGCCACTGTGCTACTAAAAAGTAACGTGAAAATCAACTTCCTGAATAATTTCTCGCGTATTAAACGGGAATTGTACAGAGATATACCGCAGATTTTATTGACTTCGAAATATTGTAGAACTGGGATACGATTTAGGCAAGTTAAGTCTACTGTGAATCCAATACATTTGTGATTAATCGTGTTAAGTTACCAAAATTTTTGTCATGCTTAGGCTCTCCCGATCGAGAGGTGTCCACAGTTCAGGGATCAACCACCAGGATCAACGGCAACTTATAATGGAAAGTGTTACATATTCTATAATCGGCAACCACTGATATTCAGAGATGCTCTGGCCTTCTGTCGTGCACGAGGCGGGACTCTGGTAGACGAAAGTAATCCTGCGTTGCAAGGATTTATCTCGTGGGAGTTATGGAGACGGCATAGGTGAGCATTATGTCAGGTCTCGTTTCATCAATTTTATTCCACTTCATTTTTGGCTCATATTCATTGTCCTCGTATAAAAATTTTATTGCGCATACGATGGAGGTGTAAAAAGTGCGATTCACTTTGAATTTTGCAAATCGAAATCAAACAATAACAATAAGAGAGTATCCCTCGCAACTGAGAAAAGCTGAGAGTATCCCTACAACGCTTGAAGATACAAAAAAGAAATGTTATAAGGCAAATTAAGCGACATCGAACGATCTATAAACTGAATCTAAAACTCTATCATTTTGATTATACTATTCGATGTAAATTTTCATTTTTACAAAAAAGTATTCAGGTACTTGGTGCTCTAAATCTAACAGTTTGAAGGAAATCATATTTACTAACAACCTGTTGTAAAAGACACTAAAATGATAACATCTTCGAAGATTTCTTTAACAAATTAACTGCCACATATGAGTGACATGACTTTTCACCGAGGAACTAAAAAAATTAATTTAGGATTCTTGAATGTTAACGAGGCTGGAAAAATAAGTTCTGTAACAAATTGAGGATATTCTAGTTTTCAATTGTCTAATAACAAAGAATCGTTTTCGTGGGCAATTTGAAGTGTTTGGTCCGGCAGTTAACGTGTCAAATGTCGTTGTAGTTGTAACGTTGAGCTTTCTTTATAAAGGAGCGACACTTCGAGCCAATACTGGATGGGTGCAGTGAGAGATCAAAAAGATCGCTCGGTTTGGAGATGGACAGGAAGCGGCGAAGAGGTTTCCGTTTCTTTCTGGAGTCTACCCCAAGGCATCGAAGAGGATTGTGCACGATACGACGGTAGCAGAGGTTGGCTCTGGTCCGATACCCCTTGCACGGCTCGATTAAATTTCATCTGCCAGCATCGTAAGTATCGACTTTCGTATCTTACATCCGTATTTCTTTCTCCCATTACTATCGAATGGTCGCAATACGGGCGCTACTATTTTTTTAAGTTCCATTGATTGCAGAGTGGTATATTATGGTTCTGATGTTTGTATTCTTTAGCCATTTTATGACACCAACACGGCAAAGAAAAGGGAGGGAACCCACCAGTTATATTTTGCAGCAGATGTTGGTTTCTTTTAGATATTTCAGGGTATTTTCTATACGTTTCTATGACATCAAGGCTATAGGCTATGTTATCTTGCATTTTTGTCTTTGGACGATGTATCTTCTACATTCATATAGCAGATAGTTGGTCGTTATGATTTCGTTGCATAGGTTGCAGGTTGGTGGTTCGGTTTTTTTTTCATTAGGTACTCGTGCGTGAGTTTATAGTGTCCTCCATATACCTGTCCATGTATAACATTGTGCAATAAGCGAGTGTCCTCCTCAGGTAGCACTGACCTTTGCAAGGGAGCGGACTGCACCAATGGATACAAATTTTCATTAAAAATACATGCATGCGATGCTTGCACGCAACAATTTCCAATTCGAACGACTTGTCCGCGTTATCGATAAATTAGAAAGTTATGGAGCTGAAAGTAAAACAAAGGATTCTCGCTTATAGAGCCACGGGCCTGTGGTCGACCGGAGCAGCCGCCAAATTCCACGATGATGGTGACCACAACGGCAGATCGGAATTCTGGTAGCGCGTATGAAGTTGGAGTAACGGTAGAGTATACCTGTACAGCGGGTAGTCTTCTTATAGGACCATCGACTCGTACTTGTCTCGATACCGGCTTTTACAACGAGTTTCCACCAGTGTGCAAAAGTAAGATCCAGCGATCGCGAAGTAGACCTCTGGCTCTTGAACCATATAAGTCCGCTAGATCTTAAATTCAACCTGCTAATCGTTTCAGGCATCGAGTGCGGTTATCCCGCGAGCATAAAACACGGAGGTTACACACTAATCAACAATACCGTTAGTTATCTGAGTCAGGTGCTTTACTCCTGCGAGGAAGGATACGAAATGACTGGTAAGAATTAATCACAGTGTTAATTAATTCATCCTTCATTTCTGAATTATGGTCTGGCATACAGACGGTACAAAAAGCATACTGTAGCATGCTACTCAGCGATTGCATATTTTTATTAGCTTTCCGTTTCGTCTATTCTCCACAGTCCAGGAGAACGTTACACTAAATACTAAACTAAATTTATTTTTATACCACGACACACTTTAAGCTTTTATTATCAGTATACCGCATATATTTACAAGTAAAAAATTATGCATAAATATAGAACGAGGTAGATGATTATTTGCCTGTCTTGTCTATGGAATTTTAGAACAAATTCCAAGAATTACAAGGTACTAAGAATTGTCTATGATTTATAGAAAATCCTTATCACTTAGAAATAGGAATTATAACACTACTAGCAGCACTAAGATACGATTATGGCTATTTGACGAATTTATCGAGTTCAGAAACAATACGAATCTAAAAGTCATTTTTTTAATAAACGAAAAAGAGCAAAGAGTACACTGAATTTTGTAAAATGTGCCCACCTACTAGCTGTGTTCGCTTCAACTTATCTTTGCGAATCATCCTATTCAAAAATGAAATACGCGAAGAACGTATATAAATTAAGGAAATTAAAGAATCTTGTTTACTTCGAAGGCCGTGCAAGATTAACTTGCGACATCGACGAACGCTGGAACGGGCCACCGCCACGTTGCGAACCGATCCTCTGCGATCCTCCAACCCCTGTTCCGCACAGTTACATTCAGATAGATGAAATCGACGAAACGGAGACGATATCAGGGAAAATGAGCTTCAATCGAAGCCTTCTCGTTGGCGGTATTGTCACTTATACTTGCGAGAAAGGTTACAGGCTTACTGGATTCCGACAGATACTGTGTTTACCCACCGGATTGTACGATCACATCGCACCCACATGTTCAGGTATGCAATTCGACTATTTTGTTATTATCGAGAAGAATATTCATTTTCGAAACAGTTCTGGCCACACAGTATATTATCGGTAAAGAATTTTTTTTCTCGAAAGTGCGTAGGATTTCGGGGGTACGTGTATTCGCCAAAAATGATTGTAATTGACCCCCCCCAATCAAAAAAAAATTTTTCCAGAATTATTTGAAACTTTTCAATTTTCAAGGTAACAGACAGTTATGGTCAGGGAGGTCAATTTTGGGGGGAACTAGAGTTCATGAATACCTACAAAAGAGTATTAAACAACTTGTCTGTACAGCGTCAACCAAATTTATTAAAAATGAAAAACGAATTTTTAAGAAAAATCGACAGATTTTTTTTTTTTTTTTTAATTTCAAATCGTTCTGGAAAAATTATTTTTGTTTGCAGAGGTCAATTACAATAATTTTTGGTGAATATGCCTACCTCCGAAATCCTACCCACTTTCTAGAAAAAAATTCAATACGGGCGAAACTTCAAATGTTAATAACTTTTTAACGAAGCTTCCATCAACAAATTAGTATTCTTGATTTTCGTCTTATTTTGGCCCCTGGAATCTCCCATTAAAATTTTTCCCAAGACTGGCCGAACACCCTGTATACTATCATCTTACCAAGGCCCGTTAATAATCGAAGTCGAACAATTTGGGTCCTTCCCTCGTTAGTATCAAATAACTGTTTTACTTTCTTATCAGCTATAGACCACAACAAGGAAGTTGCTATTATTAAGATGCCATGTTATATAGAAGATGTTACCATTTTGTTTTTAAATAATTTTCAAGCCAGAGCGATTCGATCCCTGTGTTACAGAGGAACCTCGTACGACCGTAACCGTTTCACCTAAAATAACGTTGCGAGCAACGACCTCCAGGACACGGCACACGTTACTACCGCCAAAAGTTAGATCGACTACCGCATTGCCAACTACCACGACCACGACCACCGTCGTTCCACCTCGAAAAGTGTCGAACACCGCCGAATTACCGGCGATGGTCAGAGAAACGATCCCGAGAAAACCGAGCATCGGTCTGCAGAGACCAGCCTCGTCTCCAGCGACCATTTTGCACGAAGACAGCAACGACCATCCCCAGGACAACGAGATCTCTGGCAGCGGTGTCGACAACGCGCAGTCTGGCGTCGGCGCTGGTATCCCGGAACCATCTGGACCATACAGAGTAGACAACGCCGATCAACCGAGTAACACCCACCAAGCAAAATTAAATCTAGGTGCGGTCATCGCCTTGGGCGTCTTCGGTGGTTTCGTATTCCTTGCCGCTGTAATTACGACGGTCGTAATACTCATACGCAGGTAAATCTGCAAATCATTAAAATAAACTCGAGTCACGATCAAACGACAGCCCCGATGCTGCCCATTTTCAGTTTCTGTGATTACGTTGCAATGGTCGCTCCAAAAGTAACGCCTGTTTCTCGCGATCTTCTCAGTCGGTATTTTTGTGGCGTTTATCGAAGAACCGTAACGCCACGAATTCTTCCAACAGGCATTATTTATTGGTCGGTCTATACATAACTAGCTTTAACATACATACAATACGTTCGCCCTTCGACCCTACGTGTGAATACTGTATCGCTTACTCTATATTTGTTTAAACTGTTCTCTATACTTTCGTCTATCTTCTTACTTTTTTCCTCTGACTAATCGCGCGAAGCATCCCTTTTTTTTCAAATATTGTAATCCATATATAGTTCGAGCGTCGTGAGTCACGTAACAAAGTTCGTGCGGATAGTGTTCGCAAGAAATAACGCGTCGAGAAGATTTGGTGATCTTTTGGTATAGTGCTGTAAAACTTTGTTCTACTTTGGAAAGAAAATATTCCAGTAACAGATAGAGTTTTTAATCTGTCGTGCTGTACCCGATTTGTTATCGTTGATTATAGCTAGTAAAGAAAGATATGTTGAACGATCTTTTTTATTCGAATAACAGATAGCGAATAAAAACAGCGTATGGTGATTTATGGATTTCACTGACCGACACGGTACATTTACGGCGATAAATTCGCAACTGAAGTAAATGCTGGACATCTAATGCGCTTGTTCGCTGTGAAGTGTTTTTTCCACGGTGAACTTTATTCGAATCAAAATTTTAAACACTGGTTAGAAGACATTGATTTAACTAATACTTAAAATCGTTATTCTGAGGTACATGGCATAGAAAGGGTTCATGAGCACCATTAAACTACCAAAAGGAGTCCGCGGGCAAACAAAAATGATTAGGAGCCACTGGTCTAACAAATTGATAGGTCTATTTCCTGGTCTGCTCGTTCCACATGCCTAAACCCGTTAGATTTTTTTTTCTGTGGTCGCTTAGAAACATTTCTTTACTCAACACTTGCTTCCGTTAAATTTACAGAGCTATTTGAAAGACCGAAAAATTCTATGACGCGTCTGCGAGCTTACAATCGCTCCAAAGGTGGCCATTTTCAGAACTTGATGCGAAAGTAAACAACTATATGTATATTACCGGAGTACAAAAACTACTATAACTCTGGAACAAAGTTAAACAGGGCATATATGTACGTTTACATGAACTTTTCTCGTTGTTTTTGTTTTTCCAAATTCACCACTGAAACGGGTTCCACGTGCTGAGATACGCCTTGCACACTTTTGTTCAGATGTCAATAATAATTTATAGGGTTGTAGAGTATTAAGGAAGCGTATGTCGAGGTCTTGGTCATCGATGACCGACACTGCCTGAACAGAAAGTCAAATAACGAACACCAGTGTCCGTTATGGCACTTAAGGTCCATTTATACTATCAACGAGCCGTGCACGAGCTAGGGTAAAACGACTATACCCTTGGCTCTTCTCCAATTTTGTTCCATGTCTTTATTTTGTATTTAGGATTCACGTATTGTATGTTAAATCAAAAAGAACATTGTTTTGTCTCGCTAATTCAATCAATTTCTCGTCTTCCATTGCACTTTGTTCAACGTTCGCTCTTCAATGATGGTATGAATACCAGACGAGGAGTGGACGAGCTCTTTGAAAATTCATTGACAACAGATCAAACAAGAGAAATTCAAACGATTACGCATTCGAACGGAATACATTCTGTCATTGCGTTTTGTATATGTATATTAATGAATAATTAGAAACAATGATGAAACGATGTAGTCATTCTACTCGGCTCGCGTACGGTCCGTCGATAGTATAAATCAAGGATGGGGAATTTCATTTCTCAACTTTGTTGCGTTTCTATCTCGTCGATACGTTCGTCGAGTAGAAATAAATAAAGCAGAGCAAAAGGTTCGAAGGGGATTCCCCATCCCTGGTACAAATGGATCTTCGAGGGTGAGAAGAGATAAAGTAACCCGGGAAAGTAAAGAGTGAAAAGAGGAGAAAGAAAAAAGATGTTGATCGAAGGAAACTAGACCGATGAAGGATAACAATTAACACTGAGCCCGTTTGCGTTGCGGTGGTTAGCGGCAATGGCAGCGTCAGAGGAAGGCGCCGCAGGGGGCTTGGCGGGGTTGGTGCGTTGAGGGGTGGCGGTAGTGGTGGCCTTGGAAGGGGTGAAATCGGAATGCCATCGCGTTGGTATACGCTACTGGCGCTGCCCTTCCCCGACCAGCACCTGGGGCGCCGCGACTTGACGGCCCGCCGCGGTACCGATCATCCTTACTCCTTCGGTCTCTCGGCGGCTCACCGCGCTGGATACTTCTCCAATCCCTCCCTCTAGTTACCAACAGACATTAGACCTCCTATGTACAGCCCACCACCATCGCCCTCCACCCTCCACGCAACCACCGCCCACCACTACATCAACCATCACCACGTACCACTACAACCGCCATGCGCCACCCTCGCGAGTGACTAGTCAAGGTAAACGAGCAAGGTTTATAATGAGCACCCATAGCGATAGCTCGTTCACCAGCTCACGGATGAAAGCTTCTTAAACGCACGTGGATCATGCACTTCTCTTCGAGGTCCCTGTAGCTTCTCTGATTAGACAGTCCGTGATCAGGATAAGCACTTCTTGAATAGGATCGAGCACGAAATGCAGCTAACAGTGAGAATAAACGGATCCTGGAATATTAACTGCTCGTTAATAATTATACTTTAAAAAAAATATATAAATAATAGAATATAATATATCGCCTCAATTACCACGGTGATAGGGTTCCTGATACAAGAGGAGTACTTTTTCCAGGAAAAATGATTGCCTATTAGCAAACAATATTGTAGGATTTGTTTATTTACTTGTCACCTATGTTTAGATCTTGATTTCGCCCAAAACGCGCAAGTCTCGATTGTGTAGGTATCACCCCGCGTATATTTCTACCACACATTCGCACATTATGGACGAACTGCTTCAGACTAAGTAATTGGTAATCGGAATTTGTAATCAAAACATTAATAAGTAGTAGCGGTGAGTGTATTCGTTCGCAATACGAATAAACATAGTTATCCTCCATGCTTAAGGGATTTGTAAAGATTGTTTAACAGTTGAACATTTAATTTTCCTAAGAAATTCGATTACTGCTCGTATTTGTAGTACAGTCTAGAAGTATTCTTTGACGATTAACTTTGCTTAATCTTATTATCGGATTTGTTCCACAATAGCTAAAAAATTAGTAAAAATTCTTTCGGTTCAGTACGATATATTACAGGTTAATTAAAAATTGTTAATGTTAATTGAATTTATTTGTACAGCTTCGATAAATTCAAATTTAGCATTTGCACACAGACCCACACCTTTATTCTTAGAATCTTCTTCGTTAATTTTGTTAAATTATCATTTAGGAACATTAACCCCTTGCGAAATATTCAGTTTTAAATTACGAAAATGTGTAGTGATGTAACAATGTTTACAGTTAATTGGACCTTTCAAAAAATACTGTCTTATCATAGTTAATGATCGTTAACACTATTAATTGCTAATATAGGACAGTAGATTTGAATGGATAGATATTTAAAAAGACTTTGAATATTCTGATTAGATAGTAAGAATTACTATTTAAAACAGATATTCAACTTGACCAAATGTTGACCACATCCAGTATATGCATAATAAAGATACAAAAAATCGCAAGGGATTAAGAAAATTATCCCTTATTATGCATAATGTTCTAATGGACCTATTTCCTCATTTATAATTTTTCTGCTCCTCTAATCTTCAGCTTGGTGATGGATACAACTTACAATACAAGTTGCTTTATTTCCATTTCACTAAGCATCGCCCTAGTACAAATGTATACACTTGAAAACTTAATAATCAATTTGGCTGATAATCAATGAAGCTATACTCTGCTCCTTGCTTTAAAGGACATTATTCACTTTTGCCAAAGTCTTACCCAAGCACAATTTTTTTTCTGTTTTAACAACTGTACAAATAGATTCTAATGTTAAGCTTTCACTTGAACATTAGAAAAAAAAAGTATAAGACTAGTTATTATATTAAGTTTCGTGAGACATTACGATCAGGAATTGAAAACAGTTATAATATCGATTTCAGTCCTGAAACATTTTTGAAGGGAAAAAATACTCATACATATAGTCTTGTATGTAATTCAAGCTTCTAATTTTCACCTCGTTACAACAAATTTTTAAAACATTTACTAGCGCACAACAAAGTGAATAAAGTCATTTACAAGCGCTTTGGAGATATTTTGATGTAACATTATTTTTTATAATCGTCGACAAAGTAACACTACATGATAAAAGAACCAAATTGATCGTGCAATAAAATGCATATAGGTATTACATGTATAATGCTTGTTACATCTCCTATCTGGAAAAAGATAAGGTATTTACGGTAAATGCAACTTAGAAGTAGTAATGGTACCCCGTTTATTCCAAGATCATCTTTCAACCGGTTTCTTCTATTTACACAGAAATCGCGTTAGGAGCAGTAAACATTATCGACATCGTGCGTCCCCAGATTGCAATACCGTGGCTAGTTTCGGGAGCAGTTCTTCGGAAAGTCGAGGCGGTCTGAATCGATACTACCGTCAAGCTTGGGAGAATCTGCACGAGACGGCTGGCCATAAAGCAGCTCATCCTCCACTTCGTCGCAAGGAAACTCTGGATGAACCAGGATACCGAGAGAACTACCGTGGCAACAACACCGAAAGGGATGGTTCGGAATTAGTTGTAAGCGACGTAGCCACTTACCCATCTAGCAAACATGCCAGTATATCTGACAAGAAACGCCATCATCACCACCACCACCATCACCACGGTAACTCTACGCCCGAATGGAGGCAGTCCCAAACTCATCACAGATACTGAATACTGGATATGACGGATAGAATCTTTCATATCCATAATTCGGTGAAACAATACTGTGACAAGTCACGATTGGCTTGCGAGTAGGCTTTTATGATATTGTACATCAGTGAATTCCGAATAGAATTCAAAGAAACGTGGTGAATGATTAGATACTGTGCAGGAGAGATCTTAAACGTAATTAACGAACAAGAATTATTTAGTACACGATCATCCTACATTTATTGTTCTGTTATACAGTAAATTATTTACAACTACTTGTTACGTAATGTAAATATCATATATGACGTAGTATTAGCGAGAGGAGTAAGTTGTTTGCGAATGTAGGAGGATCACAAGTTGATCGGAGGACATGCCAAAAAAACAAAAGAGTAATATATATGTAATTACAGATTACACAATTTCTAACTATGTTTCGTAAGTTGTTATAGGAATTTTTTATTATAACAATCTTTTTAATGGTACAATATTCATGAAAATCACCTACTTGGCAAAAATGAAATCTGATATGGGCACCTTGGCCTTGCCTTAAAGGAATTAAGAAACATTCTTGCAGTAACACGATATTCGAAGGAAATATCGTTTAGGAAAGGTCGATGTTATCCATTTCAGAAACAAAATCTAGTTACGGTACTTATTTAAGATGATAAGACGATTACTTATATTAAAATTTACATCGAATCTGCGTTTACAGAATTTACATTACTGGGTTATTTATATACAGTATGGTATGTACTATTTTACCACAGATAAATGTTTTCTTTTTTTTTTTAAATTCGTTGGAAGTAAAATATAATTAGAAACTGATATGTACGTATTCATTGACTGAAAGTAAGATATTCATAATAAGTTTGTACATGTATTTATTTATATCTTGGTAATTCAGAGAAAATTGTAATAGTGCCATTATGGGCAAATTTTTTTAATATATTTATACTAACATTATTGTCATTTAACATAACGCATAATGACAAATGTTAGCATATATTTAATGACATGTTACGGAAATGTGTTGTTAGTCTTCATAATGCACAAAATACTTGAATTAAATATATTTACATAGCCTGATTGTTCGCGATGATATTTATATTGATAAAAAAAAAAAAAAAAAACTATAAATTCTTCATAAAATTACTGAAATAAATTTAATTCTTTTAATATATAATTTTTCGTTAAAAAGACAAAACATACTTCATTTATTTATTAACAATCTTATACAATATCACACGAAAAATTAAAAATATCACATTTAATCTTGCAACCATTGATCGATTAAATGTCCAATTTGAATTCTAGCACTCTTCAATTCAGGTGAGTCATCCTTGGATGGAGGATACATATTTGCGCAATGAGCAGTACCTGTATGACATAATATTAAATTAACAATTTATAAAATTTAATATTAGCGAGAACATACGTAAAATTTCAATGAATCGATATTTATGTACCATTAATATAAATGGCAGGTGCTTGTGGATTCAATGATTTTGTAATTCCCAGAATATGCCAGGGATCAACCGATCCATGTACAAATACTACATTTGTAACTGTTAAATTTAACGCGCCGTATAAAATATTTGTTCGCGCGACTCCAGAATTTAACAAATGAATATTATACCTATTGAAATATAAAAATATAATAATTTCATATAGCTGGAATAATGAAAAAGTGTTTATTAGTGTATTAGCGAACCTGGGCCCAAACACATCGGTACATTGTTGCACAAAGAAATCCACTGGAAAAGTTTCACTAAATAAATTTGGTCGCGCGGTGGAACTTTGGAAGAATCCAAATTCTGTGCACGTTTGATACATCCATTGACGGCCTTTGAAAAAAAATGTTATTAAAATACAATAATTTTATAACTGTTAATACTGTTAATATCAAGAGAAGTTACCTCCTTCTTTTATCTCTTTGCTTGTCCATGCAACAGATCGAAGTTTGTGTACCATTTTACTGTACACATAGTCCAAGCACTTATCTTCTGTTGCATTCAGTATTTTATTACTTATAAAGGCAAGTCTATCAATCTCAATACCAAATTTTTCATCCGTTAAAATATCACATGTACTTTCAATAGTCAAGTTAGCCATTGCAGAATTGTTACGATTGTCCTTATTGTATTGCACAATACCAGCAAAATTACTTGCTAGAGTTTCGTATAAATTTGAGATATCATTACGCTTAGTGTGTCCAGAATCAATAGGATCGCACAAGCTAGAAATAAGGGAGACTTCAATAACAATATATAATTATTTAAGGAGGAAACTAGCTAGACTTTCGCTTACTGAAATTTTTTAACTATCCCAGATTGACCAACTGGATGACGCAACATTATATGGAACTGCCTATTTCCTTCTATTATTGCATTCACACATGCTAGAGAATGATTTTTCAGAGCAGACTCAACTACCATGTAATATTCTGCAAGCAGTAATTATTAACATTCGAGTGACAAGTGCTTATGGAATCAAAAATTAAACACTTATAACATCGAACACTCCTCGTTCGCTCTTCATTCGATTATCAAAGCAATCGTGCTCAACTCGTCCTTCAATCGTGAAGTAAAACGTATCGACTTATTCGTTTAATCATTCTATCGAATTACTCGTTCAATTGTGAAGTCAACGTTTCGTAAAAGACTTCGTAAAATCGTTAACAACAACTTCCAAAAATAGACAAGATTAGTTTATTATTGGGCATTACAACCTCACAGAATTTAAAAGATAATTCGCGCGGCTGACTTGGACAGTACTCGACGCGACGGTATGTTTCAACAGCGATGTTTATTCTCAATTTTCGATAAAAAATTCAAAACTTTTCTGACTAAGTAATATTGTTTTATATTCACCTTGAAAATCAATTTTAGCTAATAAAGGACCACTTGCAGAAACAGCTCCATGTATTAAATGGGGATATTTAGTACGCAACCATGCAGCCAATGACCCAGCATACGATCCTCCAAATGCAATCCATTTAGTACTATTTGGCAATTTATAATCATTATTCATTGATTTCGTAAAATAGGCTAAGTCGGCAAGTGCTTGTTCCGACGTGAGATACACTAAATTCTTCACACTCAGATCTCTGTAAATATTACAATACACCATATCGCTAACTTATTCATTAAAGTGTAATCAAAATGTGAAATCTCCAAATATTATTACGCACTGAGTAGGATGACTATCCCCATAAAAACGATGTTCAACTTGAAAGCAAATTGCTCCAAATTCTTTGGCATATTCAATCCATTGACCTTCTACCATCCATTTAGCAGTCGCTGCACCCTCACCTCCTATCAGTAAAAATGCAGGACCTCCTTTTTTATAATAATTTCCATTTACAAAATATCTCTATGAGAATAAATTAGAAATGCTGATTAATTAATAAATTAAAATTTTTTTTTAACTCTAATATTAATCCTTTTTAATAAAACAATTTTTATGGTAGCCGTATGAAACATTAATAAGGAAATTGAAAAAACATACAATTTTAAATAACACATACAAAAATTGTATTGAAACATTTGCATGTTAAACATGTATATAATACATATTGGTAAGATAAAAACTGTTTTATATGTGTATCGTGCATATGAATTTTTCAATTCTATTTTTATGTTCCATTATTCTTTTTATTAATATTTCATAATATTATTATTTATACATGTATGAAACTTATTCTAAGACTAAGAAATGTTTTAATACTTTAGTATAAGTAAGCTATTATTCCAATTACTACTTTATATTACCTGTCGCCATTCACGTGCATCAGTTGGATTAAAATGATCTAGAAACTGTGTAAACCATTGCTCTTCTGGAAGTTCAATATTTTCTGACAAAATCGGAGCACCTAAATTGCCATCTTTGCTCCTACCTCTCATGAAAGTTCTCCATGCTATACTAATGTCTATGAGATTAATAAAAAGCAATAACAAAGAATATCTCCACATTTTCGTATGCATTTTAAATTTATTGGCAGTTACCTGAAAGAAATAATAGAAAGCAAATTAATCGTTAGTGTTATATGCATGAATTCACTATTAAAATGATCGATAATATTGTGCTATTATATTTATTTTTTAATAAATCTAAAAAGAAAAAGATACAATATTCAATCTTTTAATTTAAAAGTTTACAGAAGAAATGTAAGAACTATATTTAATCATAATTACTCTCACTAAAGTATAAATTACATTTCACATGTATTGTTTACAAGAATAACTACTAAAGAAATACTCTTTGCAAAGATATTTTTTTAACATAAACGATCAATCGTTTTTCTTGAACAAACTTATCTTATTATTCGTTTGAAGCCGATAAGGTTAAAAATAGAAAATTGCATATGACCCAGAAAAGTAAAATAATGGCAGTATGTTTAACAATGAAATCAACATATTGACTGGATCAAAATGAAAAAGAATGTATGAAAATACTCGAGAATTAAAAGTATTTGGTATTGTTATCCTCTATTCTACTGGTAAATATTCGTATAAATTAAGGAGAGATCGAACTGTACAGTAACAGCTCTTTGTAAATTTTCTTTTCTAGTTATTGTTAATATTAAAAAATTCTTAGAAAATACAGAGAACCTATTACATTTTTGTACAAGACGAAAGATACAATTAAAAAAGCAGTGATAACTTTAAATCATATTGAAAATTGAAATTAATAGACGACTCTTATAAGTAAATATGTTAGTACAGTACATTTACTTCAATATTCGCACTGGTTCATATACTTTTTAAACACTTCCTCGGTAATCAAATTGTTTCGATTAAACATGTATATTAACTAAGGAAAATATCAAAACGTTTTAAATTAATTTGATGAATTCTAAGTTAGAAGCTAATATTTACGTAATAATTTAGTAGTTATGCGTTTCATTTTATAAAAAACTTACGTTCAACGCAACATGTAGCATTTATTTGTAACGACAACTTTTCGAAAGATAGATGTAGCGACATCTACGAAGTAAAAGATGTGAATGACCTATTATTATTATTATTATTATTTATGAAGAAAAATAAATTGGTAAAGGTGAACGATTTTCAGTGTGATCGACTGTAGCTTGTGAATTCGTTATGAATTTTTTCAACTAGATGCACAACATTTTAACATTTTTTATAAATAACTATTTAGTAACTGTATAAAAACAAATAGAAAATTATGAGAATATTAATATACATCAATCGTTCGATATCAATGGTAAAGACATTCTCAAAAAGTCATCTCTAATGGTTCCTAAGCAGTCAAGTTACAAATGTAATACAAATTATACATAGGTAGAGATAGAGTTGTCAGTAGATGTGAGGTAGACGACATTAGCGCCATTTATACACATCACGTCGATGAACTCAATTGTGCCAAGTCTGGCCACACATTAATGTGTATTTCAAGTTTTTAGTGGGAGTATCGAGTTTCTATTTTATTATATACTTTACTTATTATTATAATTATTAAGTAAAATTTAACTCAAATTAAATTAATAATAATTATTCGTAAATTTAATGTACATTGAAGGAAAGTACATTGTTTTCCATGTACGTATAAATAACAACACATATTAAACTGAAAGTAGACGCATACACATTCTGACAAGTTCGAATACTTGAAAGAACACGCCCTTTCTCGATAAGACTTGATAAAATTGAGCGATGAATTGCATTTAAAAACGAAAGTTAATAATTCTTCTGATAATTGCATTTAGAAACGAAAGTTAACAGTTCTTCATAAAATACTAATCACGTAATAAGAAAAAGAATGGCATCCGAGATTCCAACATCTTTAAAAAGCTTGTTTAGGTATTGCAATAATATTTTATTACTTTAAATATACAGAAATTTACTTAAATTTAATGCGTTCATAGTAAAACAATAATGTAACTTTCATATTAATTGTATTCAATTTTTAGCTACATTGACAAGCATAAGGCAGAGTATATCGATAATTTAAAAGAGGCAGTGGCTATAAAATCTGTCTCAGCATGGCCCGATCACAGAAATGAAATAATTAAAATGATGAAATGGGCGGAAGTTAAGCTAAAGGATCTTGGTGCTACTACAGAATTAGTCGATATAGGGAAACAAACACTTCCAGATAAAAGTGAAATTCCTTTACCTCCTGTTTTATTAGGAACTCTTGGGTGCAACCCGCAGAAAAAGACTGTTCTTTTATACGGACACTTAGATGTTCAACCCGCATTAAAAGAAGATGGTTGGGACACAGAACCATTTACTCTTGTCGAGAAAGACGAAAAATTATTTGGACGGGGAAGTACAGATGACAAAGGTCCTGTACTTTGTTGGATACACGCGTTGCAAGCTTACAAAGCTATTGAAGTTGATATTCCGGTCAATCTTAAGGTATCTATGATTAATTGTAAAAAGTATGATTTTCCATTTTTCCTTTTTCTTACTAATTATTTTTCTATTACAGTTTGTTTTCGAAGGTATGGAAGAAGCTGGTAGCGAAGGTTTGGACGATCTTCTTTGGGCACGTAAAGATACATTTTTGCAGGGTGTTGATTATGTGTGTATATCTGATAACTATTGGTTGGGTACGAAAAAGCCCTGTATTACATATGGTTTGAGAGGTATATGTTACTTCCAATTGGAAATATCTTGCGCTGCAATGGATTTACACAGCGGTGTATTTGGTGGAACTGTGCACGAAGGAATGGCAGACTTGATATATTTATTAGATACATTGGTTGATGTTAATGGAAAAATTTTAGTAGATGGTATTTATAACAATGTTGCTGAAATTACAAAAGAAGAACTGGAATCCTATGAAACAATAGAATTTGATGTTGCTGAATTTAAGAAGTCTGCTGGAATCGATAGACTGGCTCACAATGATGATAAAGTATGTATTCATAATTTGATAAATCAATACTAAATACAGTGATGTCTTGGAAATTGACCGGTTGCTATCCCCACTAATTCTTGTAACTAGCTTTCCGCTTGTCTCATTGGTCAAGTATGTTTGTTTTTAAATCTGTGAGATATCAATGTGTCATGTTTATCCATTTCTGTCTCACTCATATTTTCTGAAAAAAGAGACGGGATTTCCTGAAAGATGTACCTCCCTTCATCTTTGACCAATTTCGGTCCTAAATGTCGGCCAGTATCCAAAACATTACTGTATTTGCTGTGTTATATATTAATGGTCTTTATTATTTTGTCAGATTCAACTGTTAATGCATAGATGGAGACAACCCAGTTTGTCTCTCCATGGTATAGAAGGCGCATTTAGTGAACCAGGGTCAAAGACTGTTATTCCAAGAAAAGTTATTGGCAAGTTTTCAATTAGAATAGTACCGGATATGACTCCTGAAGAAACTACTGAGAAAGTAATAACGCATTTGAAAAAGAAATGGGCTACCAGAGGCAGCCCAAACAAAATGGATGTTAGTATGCATCATGGAGGAAAACCCTGGTCTGAAAATCCTGATCATCCGCATTACGTAGCTGCTCGAAAAGCAACCAAGCATGTTTATAAAGTAGAGCCTGACTTATCACGCGAAGGTGGTTCGATTCCAGTTACTTTGACATTCCAAGATGTAACAGGCAAAAATGTATTACTTTTACCAGTTGGTGCTGGTGATGATGGAGCACATTCTCAGAATGAGAAATTAAACATCCGAAACTATATTGAGGGTGTAAGTATTTTTGTATTAAAAGTATAGTTCGTTAAAATTGTTTTATTAGAATTGAATAATTGTTCATAACTTTTATTTTAGACTAAATTACTTGGAGCTTATTTATACGAAGTAGGTCAACTTTAATACAAACATATGTTGAGTATACACATGAGATAAAAGTGTAAAATGAAGCAATGAATGGTAAAGAAAAACTTTTTTCTGTACGTATACTATAACATGAAATTATATTTTATTGCTGTTATTATTACTACTACTATCACAATTCGAAAGTTAAAAGGAACAAATAATAAATATGCTATTTTATAGTTTGCATAAGTTTTGTTTATAATGTATACAAAACATTATTTTTATTAATACAAAGGCGCTTAAAAAATCATTCTTAAACGCTATATTTTATTTTTGTTTTATTTTTAACACCCAAGCTGGCTGTCCTTTGTGAAGTTCTGTTTGTAAGAATATAGTCAATTTTTTGCTATCTTGTTTCCACTAAAATTTAAACATTTCATATCAATTATAAACAATGTTATTTGCAGTCATTATTCGCTCATATTATATTCATAGTTCATTATGTAACTTACTTCAATTGGTTGTGGATATCCAAGCATGAAAATCGTTGCGTCAGTAGACAATTTAAGAGATTTTAAGTACAATATGTTATTGTGTGGCCAACTAAGAACAAACACAAAAATTTGATTCTCGTTTTTGTCTTGTGTGTACCAAACATCTTTTGCCAAAGTATCATTTTGTACAATCCAAGGTTTAGTGTTGTAAATAGCTTCTCCATTTACCAATAACCAATCACCTATTATTATTAGACAATTATTCTTTTATTATAGAAAATTTTAAATATAATATCTTGTTTCATAAATAGAATACAAATATTAATTGTTTTTTTTTTTACATATAGAAATGTTATATGAAACTATAAACATACCCATGCCACGTAGTCTCTCTTCAAATATAGGAGATATAATACCGTCCTTTGTTGGCCCGACATTCATTAATAAATTCCCGCCACAACTTACCGTAATTACTAACTCTTTTACCAACTCTGGTAATGTAAAATATTCTGACAGAACAGCATTTCTACGAAATCCCCACGATTTTCTATCAATAGTCATACAATTTTCCCATTTATGTGTTTGAAGTACTCCTAATGGTTTTATATAAAAAATAGAATAATTAAAAATAAAGTTTATTAAAGTAAGTTATAAAAAAATTAAAAACCTTGATAATTATATTAACATGGAATTATAATATTTACCAGGATTATAACGATCGGTACATGTATAAAAATCACCATGATGGCATGGTATGTTGTGACCCCATCTGTCATTAACAACAACCGTATCCTTTACAGGGCTTTCATTATACAACCAAGACAGAAACTCTTTTGATTTCCAATAAACATCCGATGCTTCCCAATCACCATCAGACCATACAATTTCTGGTTTATATTTGTTTATTAGCTCGTGTAATTCAGGGATTATCTTTTGTTTAACAAAAATTTCCGTTGTAAAATTGTTGTTTTTATCAAATAAATAGAGAGGATTGTACCATTCGTACATAGAATGATAGAGACCAAATTTCAAATCAGTTGAGCTTCTTATTGCAATTGCCAATTCGCCTAATTTAAAAAATTATTAATGGGTAATGTAAACCTAATTGTCATAGACTTAAAATAGTACAGATAAGACTTAAATATGATCGACACCTATAAGATCTCTTTTCGGTCCTATATCCATAGAATTCCAGCTGAAGGAATATTTTGAAGGCCACATTGTGTATCCTTCATGATGTTTACTTGTCAATACAATGTATTTTGCACCTGAAGCTTGAAATAATTCACTCCATTGGGTAGCATTGAAAAATTCAGCAGTGAACTCGTGAGCAAAATCCTGATATGTAAACTGCGGTGGATATCTTTGTTTCATAAAATCATGATACTTGGTACTATCTTTTTCCTCTAGAAGCAACAAATCAAAATTACTTTTTCCAACAGTATGTAAAATTATACTAGCTTGTAAAAAATGAAAAATATTTATAATAAATAAATACAAAAGAACAAATTATTAATTAATTATACAAGATAATAAATCAAATTACCTTGCCAATTACTCCAAAACCATTCCGAGCCAAAACTAGGAACACTGAAAACACCCCAATGAATAAAAATGCCAAACTTTGCATTATCATACCAGCTTGGAAGCGGTCGACTGTCTAAACTGTCCCATGATGGTAAATATTTAAGTTCCTTTGCTTCTCGAGTCCAAAATATTTTATGATCTTCATTATCTGATCTTATTAAGATATATTGATTTTTCTCTGATGCGCACAGTATGCAAAGAATAAGTAGAATATAAATGTGTAGAATCATTATATACTGAAAATAATTTACACAAATAATTGATAACAATATTTATAGTTTTATTACATAAAGTATAAAAATATTAAAGAATGAATTGCTCGCAGTATTTAATCTGTAGTATTTAAACACAGAATCTAAGTATATTTGAATAGTTCACATTGGTTTACATATTTTTAAAACTACTTTGCCCTCGCATGAATCTACCGTCGCGTATACTACAGTGCGTTTCAGTTAAATAGGATCAATTTGTATCTGCCTTATCTTTTGTATAACAAAACTTTTCAAAATAAAGTTATGTGTTACATTGTTTGAAGAGAACATGCAAACACGGAATTAATGTTTTCTCAAGATCATCAGTACTTCTAAAGTAAAGCCTCGTATTTTTTTTCAATAACCTTATACGGCATAAAAAACAAATTCAACGACCTCAATAGCTACATATGTATATCGTTTCAATTATTTAACCCTTTGCACTTCAAGAATTTTGGAAGTATTTATGCTTTACACAACAAATTTATAAATGTTTATAATTGTAATTTCATTTATTTATTTATTTCGCTAATTCAGTTTATGTTGTCATAAATGGAGCTTGAACCGAATTGTAGAGCATATTATGTATTATAAAGGGTGTTACGTTTAAGTCAGAACGGTGGAATATTTCACAAAGTGCTGGAGTTATCGTAAAAAGATTCTTACAAAAATTATTTGATTTAAAAGGTTACATTATGTAGTATCAGTTTTTCTTGTGTAAGTCTATTGGTGGGGGAGATTTTAAGGTCAAGTTAATTTTTTTAAATGGGACTTCATATCTTTTTGTTGATAACATTATAGCGTTTGCCGAAACAAATTCAACGGCGTACTATGTCGCCAACAACGGACTTAGCGTCTAACGGAGTGGTGGGGAAAGCTGACATATCCTACCGCACCGTGACTTCATACTTCCAACAATTATCAGAATCCGAAGCCATTGTGTTCTCGAAGATCACATATCTTATTAATTGGGAATGTTTATGTTAGTAATATTGTAGAAAATAATTGCAAATTTCGATAATTCTGACAATGCAGAATTTTAATATCGATAGATATTTCTGAATGGATAGCCAATCACACAATTGTGTTCCGAGAATCCCAGATATTATTCTATATCCCGTATATTCTCGGGAATCCCGAATCATCTCGGGACCCCGCACATACTCAAGAATCCCGAATATTCTCGGGAATCCGTATGGCTGCTATCCTCACCACTACGGTAGACGCTAAGGAAGTTCGTCGACACTATTGTCACTCAATTATGCCCGGCCCGATCTGGCCACATTGAAGCTAAAGGAAGTTCGTCGTTACTAGTGTCGTCGTAAATACATTGAACGTGTGAATTCAATTTCAGGTGCATATGAAATTTGCTGAGTTACTGTTTTGACAAATTGAATTGAAAAATAATATTAACATGTGTATTTTGGTAAAATCTCAGGTAATTCACAATTTATTTATATAGGGAAATGTGGATTAAATGTTGTTATTTGGAATTATATAAAATTTATTTTTAATGGAAGGAAAATAAAAATATATATATTTAATTTGTAGTAGGTAAATGTTGGGAAGTTTAGAATAATAACCATTTATTTTATAAGCTTCTGTTAATTAAGAAATTATTTATTTAACAAAATTACTTAATTTTTATAATTGTTTATTATTTAGGGCAATGATACGTGTAAATCTACATTTGAAGTACTAAGAATGATTTTGATGGATATTTTGAAATGGCTAATCATTCAAATGCATATGATATCGGACTTTCTGGTGGACTTATTTTTTGGATTCTACTATTGGAATAAATCAAAAAAACTGCCACCAATAAAGAATAATTTACTGTTGATGAGTGCATCAGAATTAGCTGATAATATCAGGTACATTAAAAATTTGAGTAATTTATTTTTTGAGGTTTTTATAGTATTTCTTTAGTGCATTTACTGAATTCTTGATAATATCCAACGAGTAACCAACGAAATTATAAAATATTATAGGACGAAGAAAGTATCATCATTAGAGGTTGTCACAGCATTTATAGAAAGAGCAAAAGAGGTAAATAGCATAATAAATGCTGTTGTAGAAGACAGTTATTCTGAAGCTTTAAAAAAAGCCAAAGCAGTAGATGAACTTCTGCAGACAGTACAAAATATGAATGTAATAAAGGAAAAGAAACCTTTCCTAGGTGTTCCTTTTACAACAAAAGAAAGTATTGAAGCCAAAGGTAATATTACAATTCTATTCGAATTAATATGAATTAACACTTTTATTATCTTGATCAGAAAATTCTGATTATCAACACAAATTTTTTATATATGTGTGGTAGAATTACTCTGTTTTATCATACAGTATTCTTCATTGTAGTTATTTGAATGTTATTCTTATCATCGATACATGATAGTACAGTATCATTCTCTGTGAGGGAAACCATAACCATGTGTGACCTTAGTTGCATTTCTCATAAATTCCCTACAGCATGGTCAGAAATAAGTTAATTAATTGAGGCATATATTTTGTTAGTTTAGTATAAGATTTAAACGGCCTTTAGAATCCTTAGTTTATAATAGTAATTTTTAATCGGTAGTTGAATATAGCTATAACTTAAATTTCAGTTTTCACATGAATCGCTTGGTGATGCGGAAAAAAATGACGGGAATATGGTTATTTAAAAGAAAAAAGGCGATCCTCTTTGACCCTCAAACAGTTGTTTCAGAAAAATTTGTTGCGCATCAAATAATTAATCTCTTTGTTCTACTTAATTTAAAAAGAAATTAATGTTGATATCTGCTGTGGTTTAATCTTCAGGCATTGAATCCGGATCATTTTAATTCGCCAAGGTTGCGACTTTGTATACTATCTTTAGCTCTGTATATTCTCATCTTTCCTATTAGTATGAACTCTATAAAAACGTTTCTTTTTTAAATTAATTAGAAAATATGAAAAGCGATATGTGTATACTGTGGTTTTTTCTGATCCATGTATATGCCATTTGTAGATAAGGGGGTAATATCACGCGTACAATTAAATCATAAAAATTATACAGGTATGCTTCATACAATGGGTTTAACAACCAGACGTGATTATCGTTCTGAAGAAAGTGCAACAGTAGTGGACTTGGTAAAACAAGCCGGCGGAATTTTGATAGCTAAAACGAATATTCCCGAGTTAAATTTGTGGGTTGAGTCCAGGAACAATGTATATGGACAAACTTGTAATCCATATGATACTACTAGGAATGTTGGTGGGAGCAGTGGTGGAGAGGGAGCAATTATTGCTGCTTGTGGATCTGCAATCTCTATTGGCAGTGATATTGGTGGTTCTACTAGAATGCCCGCATTCTTTAATGGAGTCTTTGGACACAAACCAACTGAAGGTTTAGAAATTTTCATAATATAAATGATTAACAAATTATAATTATTAACATATTTATAAGTAGAAACGAGCAGGATAAAAACAATATACCTAACATGCTTTTGTCGCTTACAAAAACTCGAAAGGCAAACAAGATTTTACAAAGCATTCACAGCCTCTGATAGACTTAAACTTTGCACAATCAGAAAATGAGATTTTTGTTTAAAAACCATATTTGATTATTTAGAAAAATATGATGTTTTGATAATAGTGAAATTTTCGATTTTGCCCCACAGGTAGAGTAAAATCTCGTACCTATTTGAAATATTGTAAAACTTAGTATAATTAATAAATTATTATTTATTTCAGTATAAACTAAACAGTAATAGTACTTTACATGTTATAAAAATCACAAATAAATGCATTATCCCCATCAGCACTTTTCGCCGAAAATAGAATTTTTGTATTTCCAGCGTATGAGTAGTAAACCGAAGGTGACTCTGTTATTTTATTATTATTATGTGATATGTGATATTTATAAGGCTATTTTCAGGTTTAACATCTTTGAAAGGCGTTGGTCTCCGAAAAAAGGATTATCCTAATTCAATGGCAGAGTCAGGACCAATCTGCAAAAAGGCGGAGGACTTAGTACCTTTTTTGAAAGTTTTAATTGGTGAAAAAGTTTCTGATTTGAAACTTGATACAGCAGTGGATCTAACAAGGCTAAATATTTTTTATCAAGAAAGCTCAAATGATATAAGAGCAAGTAAAGTAAATTTTGCAATGAAAACTGCTCTCGCAAAATGTGTCAGCCATTTTAAGGAAATTACTGGACTCGCGACAAAAGTAATTTTCTTCTATTTATAAATTATAATTGAACTTTTTACATGGTATGGTCCGACAGTATGGACCACACAACTTGATTTCATTTTGTTGTAATACTATATGTTAATAATTATTAACTTATTAATATTTCTTAATTAACTTTTATTGCATACTTCGCCTTGTATTGGTCTATGGATATAGACAAAAAGATTATCATAGATAACTCGTATTTCCGGTCGCTTAGGACAAACCTTTAAGAATTAAATTTATCTACATGAAGTCTTTTATCGTTACTACAATACATTTAAATACAAATTAAAGTGGCGTTTGTATACTTTAAGTACCAGATCAATTTATATTTCTCTCCATATCAAATTATCCAAGATAAAAACAATTCGAATCGGTGATCATCAAGTAGTGGTTCATCCTATTCTTTAACTTACTTTTTAATTGCAGTTTTATTTGTTATTTATATTGAATTATATACTTACATACAGTATATTCTTAATTTGTTTCTTTGAAAAAAGATATCTTAATTTCAATATATAAAATTAAACAAAATTGTTTTATTTTATATTGTTATTCATAAGCAATTTTTAACTTTAACCTGTTTATATTGCAGATAAAAATACCGGGTTCGGAATACAGCTATCGATTGTGGAGGTTTTGGATGTCTCAAGAAAATTTTGATTTTAAATTACACATAACGAATGGAATGGTACGTTATTGAGAATGAATTTTTTAGCGTTTATGTATTACCGCTGATTCGGTGAGATTCTCCTAATGAAAGAATGAGTTTAATCGCAATTTCGATTACTTATTTCGAATAAATCAATCCTTTTCTTTTTTAGTATCGTACAAGTGCTATTATAGAAATGTTAAAATTAGTGACAGGAACATCTGAAATAACACTAGCTGCAATTTTGAAATTAATTGATGAAGATATACTGCCAAAGGATAATTCTGAATGGGCAATGAACACAACTACAAATATGAAAAAGTATTTACTGGTAAGGTTTTACTGATTTTCATTTTTCTTTTTTTTTTCCTTTTTCCCTTCAATAATTTCACTAGTGATATCTAACTGAAGGCGTCCCATAGTATGTCGGAACCGCTTTAATAAGTGGTACACATTCTGCATATTCTGGCAAAAATTCAAAGCACATTCAAACAATAAAAAATATTCATACAGAACATGTCTTGTTTGACCTTATTTTCGAGTTACAACGAGTTTTATGTTGGAATAATTCTTTCGATAAGTGGAAGTAGTAACTAATTTTTTTAAAAGAGCACGTCTTCTGCTTAAAAAATATTTTTAAATTGATGTTACATACCAAATTGAGACAAATAAAAAAAGACGAAATTGCGTTTGGGTCTTTCTGTATAAGTTAATTAGTTGGTATTAAGTAAAGGATATATTCTTGTTTCAGGATAAACTGGGAAATGATGGAGTATTATTTTATCCATCCTCACCTTTTCCAGCTGGTTACCACTACACATCTTATTTTAGACCTTTTAATTTTGGTTACTGGTGTCTCTTCAATGTTCTGAAATTCCCTGTCTGTCAAGTACCTCTTGGTTTAGATGAAAATGGAATCCCTGTTGGAGTTCAGGTAAGAAATTTACGTTATTAGATAGTAATATGTCAGTTTATTTAGAAAATGATTTTATAAATATCATTTATATACTTCGATATTTTATTGTGTTCAGAAGTTACATAAGATTATTATTATTGTTTTTATCTCGTTGCATAATTGTTACAGTTCTAGACGCTATCTAGACAAAAATATTTATTTATTATCTTGTATTTGCAGCAAGTGCGTTAAATGCTTTATAAGTTTCGATACTTTTTAATTGATTAATCTGAAAATTTTTCCTTAAGGTTGTAGCGGCTCCATACAATGATCATCTGTGTCTGGCTGTAGCACGAGAATTAGAGAAAGCATTTGGTGGTTGGGTTCCACCGGCTTAATTACTGAAATTACAGGTTATATAAATTTGTTGTTCATGTGGAATGCGGTTAATGGTATACTGTTATTATTAATAACGTTTATTAATATTTTTAACATAATGGTAATAGGATAATTATTATTTCTAGTTTTAGAAATATGTTGATTGTTCAATTTCTTATTGTACGTTTTGTTTGATCATTTTTTTATACTACATATTTGAAACGGGATCGGTCTTCACATTTGTAATCTATGAAACACGAAGTTTTGTATCTCCGTCAGTATTTCGTCAGCGGCGACAGTCGTAGAAAATAGAAAGTGGAAAAAAAGCAACTGAACGTCGCGGCAGTTACTAAAATTTATAAGCAACCTTATCGCTTACAACATTAATAGAATTGCATTTTTAACATTTTTTATCATTTTATAATAAAACTTTTATTATTGCATTTGTAAAGTCTTCTTGATTCAAACAGAACTATTAACTTAAAATTATAGTCCCGAGTCAAAAAAAGTCAAACTAGAACCATGAATTTATTAAATATACAGATGACATTAATTAAGTATGCTATTTTGTCGGTTCTGCGGCACAGTAACTCGTGCAGTATATAAACAAAAGTTTGCAGTTCACCTTATACGAGTCACTGCTCAACAGTTCGTCGCGTTCAGTCGTGTTTTTTTAGGGGAGCCCAGATTTAAAGGTTAGTAAATATAATTTATCGCATTGCAACGTAGGTAAAGCTTTTTGTTTATTATTTTTTTAATCTGCTTTTTGTGCTTGCAACTTTGCTTTTGCGGAAAGATTGAAATGATTGAGACATCAATTTGTGCAAACGTGGTCTTCCGCCAGAATTGAGGCAATCGAAATGCAATACGAATGATTGCACATCACCATGTTTTATCGAACGCACGAATCGTAGAAAATTTGGTTGCTTTCTTCTTTTTTTTTACGATGTTTATCACCCTAAACATAGTTCTACATCATAATTATTAGTGGACGTCGATTAATTTGGCGACATTAATACCTTCGTTATACATTAAAGATAATAGTAACACATCGATTGTAACAACATGTAATGAAACTGATCAAACTAATTCAATAAATGCCGGTGTGTATATATACACGTATGTAGTTAAGGATTTCCGTTAAAAAATGAGAATGTGATCTGCCTGAGATGATTTGTTTTACGAAATAACGTCCATGTACTGGATGTCCCTTGAAGGTCGCCATAGTAGGTCATCAGAGGGACTTTAGTGGACAAGTTCCGTACTTATAAAAGATGTGGGAAACCCCACACTTCCTCTGGCCTTCCCCCAAAGACTAGGGAAGTCTTTCGAAGATTTCCCCCCACAAAAGAAAAAAGAATTCTAACATTTAGGCAGTTTTTTCGCATTGTATTTGACTGTGAATTGTTAAAACGATTGATACAGAGGTAGGAAACGAATGAAATAATTTTCAAATTGGAGCAAAACAATGTATATCTTGAAACAATGAGTATTTATAAATAATAAATTGAAAATTCAATTGCAATGCGTTGTTTTAAGTTTTCGTGGTTAATTTACATAAATAAATAGTACATATGTTCAATTTATTCTTTATTACAAATAATTAATAATTTCTTGTAACGAATGAAAGTAAATTAAATTAACAATGAGAAATATTTATTTTATTACTGACAATAAACTCTTTGAACTAATTTTATTTTGCTTATAAATAGTAATTTTTTTTATACAAATATATATCGTACAAGTAATAATTGTAGAAATCTAAAAAAAACGGAAACAGAAAATTTGCTTCGAAGGGAATTGAACCAGCGTCGTAACGTATTTGAAGCAAAAGCATTATCGACGTGCTAACCATATCTATTGAAAAAATCATGCTTAAAGTTTACGTGGGTCGTTACACATAGTACCAAATCTGAATATATTTTTCAAGGCCCAATGGCACAAACGCCGACACTCGTATATGTTTTTTTTTGGCAAATGAACAGGTTCAAAAAGTTTCATCCAGCTGCTCCACCAGATCACCGTGGTTCCTCCTCTTCAGTGTGGCAAGAGCTGTTTAAATTGTGCAAAATTTATACCAGCTTTTATTTGAAAATTTGGGGGATCCTCCCATTCCCTTTTATCTGTTACTTCCTAAAAATTCATTGTACACTTACAAATCAGCCCTCCTAAATCATTTGATTTGTTAGAAAAATGAGGTTGATATCTTAATTAGGTTCTGAGAAGACAACTTATATAACGTTTTATATATTTGGATTTGTCAAAGATACATTTGAATCATTAAAGTGTATGTTATGTATACATGTAAGGTTTATACCTACTGGTGGTAAATATTTTAGAGGGTGATTCTACTCAGGCGAAGTATACTTGTATACCTCGTCTGTGATTCTACAACCAAAAATACGATAAAAATCATAAATTCCAAAATTGTATTTGAAGTTTCCTTACTTTCCGATATGTAAATAAGATATTTTTACCCTGTCACTGCTTTAAAATTTGTTTATGTTCCGTATAGAAAATATATATCCCTGAAGATACAAAAATAACAAAATTGTTTCGCATAAATTAAAGTTTTAAAAAAAATTAATCGGGGTTAGATAGAATTAACATACGAAACATCGAAATATTAGCTTAAAGTACTTTTGGCCATTCGTTCATGGTTTGGTTCTTTTCAGTCTTCTTATATTGTTTTCAATCTTGAGTAGATTATTTGATAATGGAGTCGGATGTTATTACAATCTACTGTTGTGACTTATTTCTAAGTAAATTAACATAAGTTGCGACTTGGTCATTTGCATTAAAGTTGGCGGATTTTAATAAAATATAATTAGAAATATACAAAAAAACATAAAATAGAAAACTTTTCTTTGTTTTTGTAATAGTAGAAATAATTTATGGTCGAAAATCGATTAAGTTCGTGAGCTCGTTTTAGGGCAATTAGACAATAGATTGTCGGAATATAAGCAAAGTATATAAGTAATTTTGTTAATATTATTCATTTTTATTTTTTCATATCTATTAATACTTATTATTCGTAGAAAATAATAATGGTGTAAAAACGTAAAACTGTACAATGTTACGTAATATAACAAATAATGAAATGTATAATTTTCATCCATTATTAATAGCAACTGCTTATCATTAAATATAAATTTATTAAAAATTTGTTTCACGTATAGCAGGAAATATTGTTGGCCAGTAATGTGGGAATGAGGTGGTCAATAAAAGGGGCACGAGATCAAATATAATTTAGTTCCAACAAGTTCGTACAATTATAATGTTATATTTTTGTTTAAACAAATGTTTACACGAAAGGAAAGTACACCAAAAGAAAGAAAACCATTTAAGTTGTATCAGCAAGGAAAATTCATTTAACTTTTATACATATATTAGGAAATACACTTTAGTTAGGTATCATAATATATTAGTAAAAAGTTATTATTATGCAATAATGGGGTATGTACTTCGGGCACGAAGCCTCAAACGTAATTTTGTCACTCGTGGTCTTCTTGTTATTTTTGCCTGTAAAATTATCCCCTGAAATATTTATCACCAGCAGATAAACACCGTGTATACGAATAATAGCAATGAATTTTTGATACATTTGTTTTGAGGATTTCTATGATCAGTTGCTCTAAACTCTAAGCAATTGCATTTTTTTTATATCGTATAATGTGCCGGTGGTTTCTCCTGTATTTGAATGGAATGCTATCTATCCTTTCTAAGGGCCTGTGCCGTTTCGTATACATCATTTATTTGTTCGTGATGCATTCATATTTTATCTCGTTCGTGGCTATCGCTGCACGTGACGACATTGCGCGGAGACCGTATTATATGGCAGTGGGGGTAATGACGTCGCAGCTCTCGCTCGCTCCATTCACTGACCGGCCGTCGTCGCGAGTAGTCGCGAGTCTGTCCTGCTTTCTTCTGAACATCGATACCGTTCCAGGATCTAACGGAATATCCCGGAAGTGTGGTTTAGACTTGACTGCCTCTTTGTGTGTAAACTTTTTTGTATGAGTTGCTACGAATTCCTGGTACTCCTACTGAGAATATCAATATTAATCGGTGGTTTTTAATCGAAGCCTAGAATGTATTTGTGAAAGCTACTTACTCTTGGTCTATCTTTCTTCTTCTCGCGTATTTATGTTGTGTGTGTGCGCGCATATGCGTGTATGATTTGTGTACATAGTAGTGTTTGTACGGATTCGAGAAGGTCTTTGGACGCGAAAGGATACGATCGATTGTGATTCGTGGAACGAGATATGACCGTCGCCGGAAAGGTGAGTTCTGTTTACGAATTCTTTCGATTTCTGGACTTTAGAAAATGTTAGAGAGGATTCAGCGTAACTAGATGCACGTTACATTTACAGGAACAGCTCTAATGTTACGAATATCTGTATAATTATTTGAAATAAGTGTCTTTCAGTGTTCCCTTTTTGCTTAATTGTATTCCTCGAATTGTAACATAAGACCAAACGCTTAAGTCAGTGACCACATTGCTTAATGAGGTTTTAATAACTGAACACATTGCACTTAGTCGTAGATAAAAGGAATTATCGAAAGTCATAGGCTTTACGTTATTATGGCTTACGAAAGTTATACGCACAACAAACTACGATGTTTAAATTGTTTTCAGTTTCTGTCTATAGTGCGATAAAAGAAATCAGTACTGTAATTCTCGTTAGTGCGTGATACCTTAAATAAATCACACGAACGATCAGAATCTAATATCTCGTCATTTTTAAATTTTATAGCCGAGCACATTGTAAAAATTTATACCGGATGACTTTAAAACATATGCTCATGGAAAGTGCATTCTACTCATTTTGATAACGGGAAATGGTACTGTAATCATAAGTATAAGAACATATCATTTTTGAGTTATCATTGTTTCTTACTGATCGATTTTTTATAATAAAAATTTTATATTGAAATAGATGCGCTTCGTGTTCTTACTAAAAGAATTATTGTTTTCTGCGACATTTTATAACTATTCGAGGGACACTTAAATTTATATACATATATGTATTCCCGATTTTATGTTACGATAAGTTTATATGAATATTGCAAATTCAAATATTGTTAATATGAATAATTTAACGAGAGGCTTTTTAAGGAGTCCTTGTTTATTAACTCAATGAACAGTGTAATTATTATTAAACACTTGAGTGATTTAAATGCATTGTAGATCCATCGTGTGTGATCTATATGTATATGGAGTGACCCAAACTGACGTGACAAGTCTAAGCACGTAAATTTCTCATATCGATACAAATCAAAAAGCTATTTTAACGATTTTGCAATCTTTAAGCAATTAAAGTTTTAGACTCCTTCTCTGGTGTACGTTGTTTTAAATACAAGCGGTGGAACGCGTAGCTGCAAATACTCGCACACAAGAAGCATGCGTAGGTGCATATTCACATATATTTTAGCGGTAATAGTAAGTAGTAGTAGTAGTAATAGTAGTAGTAGTAGTAGTAGTAGTAATACATTTATAATGCTCTAAGTTCATATTTTTATGTATGTTTAATTGTGTTTCATTCTTGGAACATTTCATGACGTGTAAAACATCCATTTTTCACACATATAGAGAATATCGATCTTTAATTTGGTTCCTCCTAATATACAGAGTGTTTGGCCACCACTGGGAAAAATTTTAATGGGAGATTCTAGGGGCCAAAATAAGACGAAAATCAAGAATACTAATTTGTTGATGGAGGCTTCGTCAAAAAGTTATTAACGTTTAAAGTTCCGTTCGTGCTGAATTTTTTTCTAGAAAGTGGGTAGGATTTCGGGGGTAGGTCTATTCACAAAAAATTATTGTGATTGACCCCCGCAACCGAAAATAATTTTTCCAGAACGCTTTGAAATTGTTTAATTCGTCGAAAAATTTCGGCAGCTACCCCCTGGGACGATTTTTCTTAAAAATTAGTTTTTCATTTTTAATAAATATGTTTGACGCTCTACAGAAAAGTTGTCTAATACTTTTTTACAGGTACCCATGGGCTCTGCTACAGAAAAAAATTTCAATAAGATACCTTTACTATTGTAGGAGTTATGGCCGTTTGAAAATTGGACCATTTTTATAGGGTTTTTCTCACTTTACGGTGTCAAGGAACAGCTTTTTCAATATTGTTAGAATTTCCACATATTCCTCCGATTCGTTCAGGAGTTATGACATTTTAAAGATTCGCATGAAATTTCAGGGAAGCATTTCTGGCCTCGCATTAGATTTTCGGTAAAGAATTTTTTTCTCGAAAATGCGTAAGATTTCGTGGGTATGTGTATTCACAAAAAATGATTGTAATTGACCCCTGCAATAAAAAATAATTTTTTCAGAATGATTTGAAATTTTTTAATTTAATTTTTTAATAACTTTTTAATGAAGCCTCAGTCAAGAAATTGATATTCTTGATTTTCGTCTTATTTTGGCCTCTAGAATCTCCCATTAAAATTTTTCCCAGGTGCGGCTGAACATCCTGTATAAATCCATAATAATTTGTATAATATTCAGATATTAGTTCTGTACACGAATCAGATAAACTTAACAAGATATGTTACTACAAATTTGCATAATAGCCGTTAACGAGCTGTTGATTTTTCGATAAATTCTCATTCAAGAATTTTCTATTGGTGTTTTTCTATTTATAATAGCAATAATCTGTTTTTATGCAATTACATAAATTTGTTCGTTTAGATGTTTTCTGTGTGTATGTTTGTACATGATAAACTCGAGAACCACTGGACCGATTTAGATAAAACTTTCACTGCTAGATAGCTTATTCTTCCAGTTTGAACATAGACTACGTAACACTACTCCACCATAACCAGGGTCGAAATCGTAAACAAAAATTCAGACCAATTCTGCGTGTTTGTTTCTTCTTATTTCAACGTTTTATGCGAAACTCTAGCTAACTATGAAGAGTACACTAAAATAATGAATGAAAACTAAAATAAGCGGCGGAGGAATTTGTCGTAGAAAGTGTAGTGAAAGAAAAACTTGTCGCCATTTGCTTAAAAAAAAGAAGCATGTATACAAACAATCGTTTACCTATAATGCATTCCCTGGTCATAATATTTGATTAACTGTAGATTTGCTACATAGAATTTTTTTAAAAGTACCGTAAATTATTCCTCTAATTCGAAAGAATAGTGCTGTAAAAATGTCATCCAAATTGGTACAATAATTTAAACAACAATGAACTTTTAATAACCAATTGCATTGGAAATTGATTGAACATCGATTAGTCCGTAAGGACGTGGAAGTGTAGGGTTCAATTTTAAAAATTGACCTATAAAGGTTGTTTTACGACTATTTATTACAAAGTTACTAATGTACTATTGTATACACAGTGATGGACATAAGTAGTGGCACAATACACGATTTGATATAAAAACATTAAAAACTATTGAAAAAATTGTTTATATCGCTTCTTTTTTTATACGTATCTTTATTTACAATATTTAATTTATTTATATACAAAAGCAAGACAAAACTGATAAAATAGAGAACATGTGATTAATGAAAATCTGTTTTATCATCATCTGATACATAGTCTTTAGTTACCAACAAGTTCGTACAATTATAATTTTATTTTTTTGTTTACACAAATGTTTACACGAAAGGAAAGTACACCAAAAGGAAGAACACCATTTAAGTTGTATCAGCAAGGAAAATCTTATTCAGAGGTAGGAGAAATAGTGCAAAGATGTTGTTTTACAATTCGAAGCACAATTAGAAAATTTGCAAACATGAAATTATCAGAAAGAGAAAAGGGGGAAATAATTGATATAATAAATATAATTGCATACTGTACTAAATCAATACTTATATCTTAAACTTTATTATAACACATAAACTTAATAAAATAATGGTTTTAAGAACGGTAAGAACTTCTCAACTCTATAAGCGCTACTTATTATATGGGAATATGTATGTTTCAATTAGTATTATGTTTGTTAATGTTTTGCAAAACCATCATTTTTATAAACAGTTTTTTTTAGTTACTTGTAACTAGTAAAAATGGAATTACACCCCTCTTACTGCAAGGTCTTCATTTAACTTTTATACATACAGGGTGTTTGGCTACCCCTGGGAAAAATTTTAATGGGGGATTCTAGAGGCCAAAATAAGATAAAAACCAAGAATATCAATTTCTTGACTGAGGCTTCGTTAAAAAGTTATTAAAAAGTTAAATTAAAAAATTTCAAATCATTTTGAATAAATTATTTTTCGTTGCGAGGCTCAATTACAATCATTTTTGGTGAACACACATACCCCTGAAATCCTACCCACTTTCGAGAAAAAAATTCAAGTAGGCACTGAGATTTTTAGACAAAATTAAAAAATTTCAAATCATATTAAAAAAATTATATTTAGTTACAGGGGTCAATTACAATTATTTTTAGTCATTAGACATACCCTCGAAATCCTACCCACTTTCGAGAAAAAAATTCAAGTAGGCACTGAGATTTTTAGACAAAATTAAAAAATTTCAAATCATATTAAAAAAATTATATTTAGTTACAGGGGTCAATTACAATTATTTTTAGTCATTAGACATACCCTCGAAATCCTACCCACTTTCGAGAAAAAAATTCGAGTAGGTACTGAAATTTTTAGACGAAATTAAAAAATTTCAAATCATATTAAAAAAATTATATTTAGTTACAGGGGTCAATTACAATTATTTTTAGTCATTAGACATATCCTCGAAATCCTACCCACTTTCGAGAAAAAAATTCGAGTAGGTACTGAAATTTTTAGACGAAATTAAAAAATTTCAAATCATACTAAAAAAATTATATTTAGTTACAGGGGTCAATTTCAATCATTTTTTGTGAATAGACCTACCCCCGAAATCCTACCCACTTTCGAGAAAAAAATTCAGCACGAACGGAACTTTAAACGCTAATAACTTTTTAACGAAGCTTCCATCAATAAATTAGTATTCTTGATTTTCGTCTTATTTTGTCATCTAGAATCTCCCATTAAAATTTTTCACAGGGGTGGCCGAACACCCTGTATTGTTGCACGTATTATCGGTGAAACCGAAATCGCGATAATTAGCTGCTGCAAACTTTCACTTAGAAAATCTTTCATACAGTTAATTGAATAACATCCACATTTGCTGTAACCTAGATGAGCGTCTAAAAGTTAACTTTTGCTGTGACGTGCAAACTAATGGAATCTAACAATGGCGGATTCAGGCGAATCTTTAATTGTTATTAACTTTAACTTTAAGACAAAGACTCAACCAAAATATTATTATTCTCGGTTTTTCGTCTTATTTTGGCCTGTAGAATCTTCCCCTCGAATATCGACAAATGGTATCCGAACACCCTGTATACCGTAGAAAAATTTCCATATCTTTGTCATCGGTGCTTTCTAAGCATGAAAAACACGTTATATTATTTGTAGAATGTTTTTTGCATGCAAATCGATCGCATATACTGCATTTTAATTGTCGTATTAGTACACCATTTGCGTCGGCCTCGTTTCGCCGTGGATGGCTCAGGATTTTCATTTACGCTTGGATGGTCCGTGGCGTAGTTTCGGTTCAAATATGCCGGCTGTATCGGAAAGTAAAGACTTTACATTACCGCGTATTTGAAGATGCTTTTCCATTAATTGGAACGACGAGCTTTTTAAAAATATCTTGCGCCGAAATTATCTTCGTTTCTCAGAATATATACAATATTTAAAAAAGAAGCAGTGCGTTTATGCGCTGAATGATTTTCTAATCGTGTCAAACCTTCACAATCTGCCTCTTCAACCATAAAATACATTTTGCTAGAAATCGAAAGCGTGAATAATAAAGTTTGCATCGATGCTCACGGTTATCATTTCCAACGCTAACAGTGTTTATGGAAATAAGATAATATGCTACTTTACTGCGAATACGAACGAAAATAGATCTTACTGTGATTTGAAATTAGAATAATAAATTTAAGTGACAAAACATAAGCAATACAATTGTAGATTGAGAGAAACTTCATGCATAACTTTCTTAAAGAAATTTATCATTTCCGGCCGAGATTCGCCGTTCTATAAACTTTCACCATTAAAGGCAACCGTACTCAATCTATAACTATGTCGTGATCATGTTTGCTATGTTAACTAATTTTTTAAAACATACGAACAGGGGAGGATTTACGCAATACACGATGAAGGCAGACGTAAAGCTTCATTAGCGAAATCACTTTTAATTCGTGTTAACTAATGAAAAATTAGTTCGCAAAAATCCATTTATATCTTACCGGATTCGAATTGACGTTTCGGTTCTATTTTCAGAGATACGTGGACTGTACTGTTTTGGAAACCGGAAGCATTGCTGACGCAGAGGATTCATCTTATGACAGCGATTACGAAGTCGAGGATTTGATCGCATCCACGAACGTTCATTCGCCAGTGGAACTGCAGGTATTGATTATCATTGAATTGAAACATTGAAGTCTGAAGTTTGAGATGTTTTAAAATTATACGTCACGGCCACAGCAGTGTAATTATTTAAAGAAAAGTTCCCATAAAGTTGTCCTTGATTGACACCTTCGAAGACAAGTCTTTTTAATTTAGCAATTTTAACTACTTTTTAACCACTTAACGTTACAGGTGTCTGCTTCAAACCATTCAGATGTATCCAGAACTATCTCAGACACCTTAGCCGCAGAATTTGCAGAATATGTCACAGTCCAAGGAAGTCCACCTATTCAGAGTCCAGGTACAATATTAAATAAATATGAATTTTGAAAAATTAAGTATTCAATAGACAATTATTTTTAAAAGATATTTTATTGTTTTTTGCAAACTATGATCTTGATAATATTAACCTTAGCTGGTGTTAAGTAGGGATGTACCTAGCACGCCATTTTGGCTTGTATTTTATTTGTATGACGAGATATGTCCAACACGTCTGCAGATATTGTTTACGCTAAACTCAGAAATTATTTAAATTAAAATATTATTTGGCTGGCGTCATACAAGTACATCGAAAGTATGTCCAGGGGATTTAAACGTTGGGCATGCATGGATTATATATTTCGGACGATAGTTGTTCTGTCATGCGATGGGCGCCATATTGATTCTACGCAACTAGGCCGGACAGCCATCAGCCGTCACGAAATAGGAAAACTAACTTAAATTCTGCCATTTGTTCTTAGCTGTCAAAAGTAGCGAAGTAATTATGTAGTCGGTGATTTTCGTTACATAGCTACGACAAACGTTGAAAACTCGTCTCCCTCTAACATTAAAGAATGACTGAAGACACTGCCTGTAAAATCTGAAGCTTGCCTTTTGTGCTAAGATCGTGAAGTTAAGGAAGGGATGCCAGAATCCAATATTATCGCGATGCCGAAAATGTGGTCTATTAATTGATGTTTGTTTAAAAAAATATCATAACAATTTTTCACTGAACTTTTTTATATGTACTCGAAAATTCATTACAATAAAATATAATACAAACCATATTGTTTGTTCCTAAACCATTGTGACCAGTAAAACTGTTTTATATGTACTTTCTGAATAATTATTAAGATACACTGTTATAACGCATTTATGTCTTTAAACATGACATTTGTAATTGAAATATTAATATTACTTGGAAAGTTCTTAAATTTTGTTAATGTAACATTGAATTCAAGATGCTCTATGCAAACCCATATGGAGGCTAGTTATAAAGTATCATATGTATAATATTTCACTAAAAACCTTAATATCGAAGCTTTCCCGAGACAAATTATTAATATCATCGCTTTTCCTGCCAAAATCCTTTTTACATAAAAAAAATTTACAAATCATGCACTTTGAATGCATGTTTAAATTTTTATCATGACACTGTGCACATACCTATCACAAATTTCTCTAACATTTTAGGGATTTCTCCCCTCCTGGCATTGATGCGTTCCAACTGAAGATCCTAAACTTCTTTATGTGACAGGCCATCATAGATATTTGAGTCTATTACTACTCTCCGCGGTGAGTTGTCCTCAATCACCTGCTTCTGCCTTTTATTTATCGTATTCTTCTGAAAGCTCGCAAAGGACTATACCGAAGTATTGTCGATTTTTATGATACTTAACAGATTTGTAAAGTAGCTAAAAACAATCGATACGTATTTTTTTTTTTTTTTTTTCTTTACACGGCAAATTCATGTTTAAAGAATGGAATCACTTGTCCAAGTTGAGGGTTGGAAATTTATTTAATGTTTACATCGAAGCTAACTATATAAATAATTCTTTTTTAAACTCAATTTTCATAAAATTATTACAAAATTATTACTTCTTTATTTATTTTCCTTGTAAAATATCAATACATTTTAATATAAATGTGCATGTAAAAAAAATGTGTGTTGAATATTTTTGACCGTTCTATGAGTCTGCAAAGTCTGATTAAAATTGGTAATTAACACTTCGGTATAGTTCCTAGTCGATTCTCCCAACTCATTGATATCAAAGTTTCTTTATTAATCATTAATTTTTTAATCATTGCAAATTTCACTAACTATTTATGTTCTGGCTTAATATTTGCTACATTGTTTGAAGATATTGAAATATCACATCTTTGTTTATTGTCCTTTCCTACTTGAGAATTATTTCTCTATTCGTCTCAACTTTAAAGTCAAATCTTAAATCTCTCAAATATAATCGTAATATCTTTTTGGTCATGTTGGTTTTTTTTTTCAATAATATTATACTATTCCTTATGTCTTTCAAAATGAATGAAGATTATACTTAAAGAAAATTGTTAAGTAACGGTAAAATAGCATTCGTCATTGTTTTGTTCCTACCTGAATTATTTCGAACTTGGTTCCTCTACTCCATGCTTTCCATTTCTGTAAACTATTATTTATAATTAATTGAATAAATTATACGTCTTTGAAAACTATAAAAATCAATTCGAGTTGATGCCTTTCATAATTAAAAACAAACACAATAGGATACTAATTAAAACTATCAAGCTGGAATGTTTGTATTCATAAGCATGTGGGCTATTCAAATGAAGGATAATTTTCGATGTGTTTTTGTGATGTCAGGTCCATTTTTGGGAGTACTTTATATTTGAGTCTCTGGATTTCATATCTCCTGCATTGGTAGAGTAGATGGTTTGTAGATAGCTTGTAGTAATCACAAATTGCTGGTTCCAAATTCTTCAACAGGTCTTTGTGAGTGATCTTTGAGCGTGTAGCTCTCACTCTCATAATGACTATTTTATTTTTTCATGATCTAGAAAGGAAGTGAATTTTGGTTACTTGATTCGATAGGCGGGGAGTTTGCTACTTGTTTTGTGTAGAAATCAGCTTTTACATTTCCAAATATTCTCTGGTACGTATGGTTCTGTGTAGGTTTCTTGGATCTTTTGTATAGTTCCATATTTCTTTTATGCATTAATGTTATTTGCGGCTAAGATAGCACTTATAAGATAAAGCAACAGCTACCGCAGTAAAGACGCTTCTTTAAGGGTCTTTTCTAACAATAAGATGCTCTAATCCGACTGACTCCATGATCTCATTTAATCTTTTGTTCCAGTAATGAGGAATCCCTAATTGAGATATCAATTATATCGAATATATATACGTATTAGACTTTGAGTACTCATTGCCAAGATCTGATATTGCAACAAACAGAAACATACTAATCCAAACAAAAAATCGCCAACATTGATATTTTATATTTTTTTTTATCTTATACTACGTTGTACATAAAATTGATTTCAATTATAATTCACGTAATATTAATGAATACAAATTGAATGTTTAAGATTGCAAAGGAACCAAATTTTTATTTTCTAGGCTACACAGCTAGAGTAGAATTTGCTCTCAAACTTGGTTATACCGAACGATTAGTTCAAACAGCATTGCAAAAGTTGGGTCCAGATCCAGAGCAAAACGAGCTTTTAGCTGAATTGATAAAACTCGGTGCTAGTAGTTCTCAAAAATCAGTTGACACTCCAGAGGAGTCTGATAATGTTCTAGATACTGATATAGTGACAGATTTAAGCGGATGCTCCACTAGTCTCAGGCCCGTCGTTATCGATGGAAGCAATGTGGCGATGAGCCATGGAAATAAAGAAGTATTTTCTTGTAGAGGAATAAAAATTTGTGTGGATTGGTTTAAAGCAAGAGGGCATGGAGAAATTACTGTATTTGTACCAAAATGGAGAAAAGAGGCTTCTAAAATTGATAATCCAATTGCTGACCAGGATATTCTAGGAGAATTAGAAAAGGACCGGTTATTGGTCTTCACACCATCTAGGTTAGTATATTAATATATTAATATAACACTCCTATATATGTATGCTCCTCGACAGAGTATTGTATGTGCTGGCATCTAAGGCAGGGCCTGATACGATTGCCTCACTGATGAATCCACTAGCAGGTCCAGTACAAAGCGCTCCTCTCTCCTTTCCTTTTCATAACTCTTGCTATGTTGTTTACCATTTACTGTACACATAATGTTATTACGAGTATTACTGTAAAATACATATACTGCTTTTCTTTGTCCCTAAGTCTACCTCTGCCAAAGCGATTGACATTTCCAAGCTTAATATCGGAGATCTCGATGTCCCATTATTATGCAGAGCTTATTACTTCAGATAACTTTGAATTTTTTATTTCAGATTAGTTGGTGGTAAAAGATTAGTTTGTTATGATGATCGTTATATTCTAAAATTAGCAGCAGAGATTGATGGTATTGTTGTCAGCAATGATAATTACAGAGATTTGGCCCAAGAGAATCCAGAATTTCGAAAAGTCATAGAAGAAAGGATTTTGATGTATACTTTCGTAAATGATCGTTTTATGCCACCAGACGATCCATTAGGCAGAAGCGGACCTACTTTGGAGAATTTTTTACGGATTATTCCAAAAAAAACCGATCCAGCCCCACCTTGTCCATATGCAAAAGTACGTGCCTCTTTTTAGAAACTCATTTTTTTTTCATTTAGTAGTAGACCTTCGAGCATGTCTTACAATACGTGATGACCATGTCTTGACTCGATCATAAGAATATGTGCTACTTAATCAAAATTATAGTAACGTTTCTTTGTTACAGAAATGTACTTATGGGAATAAATGTAAATTTCGACATCCAGAAAGAGGTCCTCATCCTCAAAAATCGGTTACAGAGAAACTAGTAGAACATGTACAAAAGCATCTTCAAATTAGAGGTCCAAATTCAAACCCTGTTGTACCAAGTAGTGTACCTTCCAAAATACCTCAGCATCAACCATTGTGTAAAACTAGATCAACCGTAACCACTAGTGCTCAATCGTTGCTTTCGGTTGTTAAAAGTAGATCTGTAGAAAATGTTACAATTGAGCAACCAATAAACTCTGGTACACATGGATCTCAAGTAACCTCAACCACAAATACTCAGGGTAAGAGCGTTTTTTGTTATAACAATTTTATTTAAATATTATGTCCTTTTCATATACCCGTCAAAGTTACTTCTAATAAACTAGCTTGTTAAAATAGATAACTTATAATACACGAGGACGTATAATTTTGTAGATTGTTTTTGAAGTAGAACAGAAGACAATATTCTTCTCATCGATATATTAAAATATTTATTTGCTTTGGTCTTTGTTAATAGGTCACCGCTCTTCCATGTGGACAACAGGAAGGTTAAATAAACCAGATGCAGAATTACCAAATCCACATAGAAAACTTCAGAGGCAGTTAACATTGAATCCAGTATGTGATCCTCGACTTTGTCAATTACGACAGTATCAGCAAGCATCACAAACGGGTTCAGTATCAAAACCGTCTGCAGTCACAACTTCTAGAGTGCAACACAGGCCTTTAACTAGACATTCCAGTAACGAATCACCTTACAGAGCTGCCATGAAGTGAGTGTTCGATTTTTACATTTGTTTTTAATTTTTAATTAGTTTTTAATTTAATTCATCGAGCATTACAATACGGTTAAGTGAGAAATATGCGTAAAAAAATAATAACGAAATTTTATATGCTTTTCAAATTTTCGAAGTTAGATAACAAATTTTTTTTCAAAATGTTTAATTATTCAGTTGGGATCATTCTGAAGCACGACAATGTCACCAGCATGTAACTCGTATTGCTTCGGCGCCAGATTCGTATCAAGCTTGGCCACTAAACAATTCGAACATGGGTACATCATCAGGATCAAATCAACGATTGGGTGCCTCAGATCCACAATTAAATCCTGTCGCATCTTCGTTATACTCAAATATGCCTTCAGATGCACTGAAAGAATTTCTGGACACTAGAACAAAGATACATTATCATTTGGCAAATATTTTTCCTGAAGAACATGTGAGGGCTGCTATGTTAATTCATCCATTTGAAACAGATCCAATAGAGATCTGCATTGCTATTCTAAAGATGTATCCTCAATAATGGAGTAATGGAGTAAGAATGATTTTCTTTATTTATCCAATTCATATTTATTATTTGAATATAACACAACTGTAAAGAAGGGATTATAAGTATTTGAAACATATTGTGATATTTATTTAAAACACGTAAGATATCTTATAAAAGAAATAGACAAATAGTTTTTTTATAAAGTTACAACTTTCTCGAAAAATACACTTTAAAATATACAAAGATTCGTTAATTTAAATATAAAGAACATAGTAGTTAAAATTCGATAAAAATACGGATTTACAAAAATTATAATGTTTTTTAATCTTAATTAAAATGAAACAATAACACTTTCAACTTTATAGCCTGAATTGTAAATAAATGCTTAAAATTGTTTAAAAATTGTTTGCATGAATGATATACTGACATTAACTTCTAATAATTTCATTACTTGAACATAACTATTAAAAAAATAGCTGTGATAAACCAATCAAATTTAGCAGCTTATCTTGTTTTTATTTCACAAAAAATTTACTAAATTCCATGTTCCATTTCTTTGTAACGAATTCATCCCGTCATCCATAAATAATAATAATTAAAAAGTAATAATTCTCACAGACTCATTGTCAGTTACATTGTTAACGAGATACGTACCATACATGGGATCAAGATGTGCTTTCTTTATTAGATGATATTTGAGCGTTATTATATCGTATCTATTTTCTCTAATGCTTTTAGCTTTCGAGATTTAGACTCAAATAGAACAAATGAATCTCCCTGTATACCAACCCTTATTGAGTGTTGACTCACAAGTTATGTCTCTGTTGCGGCTTTGTCCCCCACTGCATGCCGTATTATGTTTGATAGGGTCGTAAACTTATCAAGTAATGAATATGAAAAAATTTATGAATATTTTTACGAATATTATACAGAATTTTAAACATTTACTAACAATAAATTTAGTTTGAATAGCGCCAGATGGCGTTTAAAAACGTTAGTAAAATTATTTTCAAATTAACCCTTGTGTATTGAGATTACAAAAATATCGCGCCAAGCGTTAATCTATGAGACATTTTTATGTTCAAATGTAAAAAAAAAAAATTGAACAAAGAAGCAGAAAATAACTAAAGAAACATTTATTCTTTTCTGTACCAGGAATAACAGAAACGAATTATTACTAGTCTTCGCAAGATTTAATGTTATACAGAAAAAATGTATCTGTTTAAAGAATGATAATAATTTACTAATATATAAATATATCAAACGTTAACGTTAATCCCTATAGTAATCGCAAATATTTGGTCCATTTCGAACGCAACGCAGATATACCACTTTAAAGTATTAATAATTTATAATAATACATCTTTATTATATACAGATACAGTAGTAACAAGAGAAAGTAAGTGAGAAGAAAGATCATGATCAGCGTGAAGAGTTAACGTTAACTGCATTGTAAAGGGCGAGATTCAATGATGAAAAAAATGCGCTGTTATTAATCCCTTCCCTACAAAACGGCCACTTTTGTGGACGTCAATCGAGACTGCCACTGTGTACGAACAGCCACTATAGTACACATACGCAACGTACAGTAATTTTTGCTTTCGCTTTAAAGTGAATTATGTAGCGATTTTTACCTCAAACTGAAGTCAATAAGGACATAACGGTGAAAAGAGGAAGATGGTACCATTATTTCAATTGTCACTGGAAAGCAGAAATGACTATACTAGCTTCGCGTAAAGTGCCAGTGCGCTAATAAGGTGAGAATAAGTTGTACATTATGGGTCTGTTACTTAACTTTATTTTTAAATTTGTATTTTTTCTTACGTTTTTTATACTCTTTACACATGAGCATTATGACTATATTTTATATCGTTTGATTATGTTTCTAGTTTATTTTTTGTTAATAAATGTACATTTCAAGTGAAAATGTTTTATTTTTATATTAATAAAAATATATATTATATTTGATAATAAAACTATAAATTTCATATTGATTGGAGAGGTGTAACATTCGGAAGTACAGCCCAAGAATCAAAGGACGGCAATATATGTACAGGGTGTCCCAGCTAAAGTGTGACACTTTAGTCGCGATACTGCAATAACTATTGATGATACGGAAAAATTGTTTATATGAAAATTGCAGGATAAAATAGGATCTTTATTCTGACGTAAACGGAAATTTTATTTATGTTGTTAATTTCAAAGATACGATGATGAAGTTTCGTTTTTTAAATGGAACTATATATTTTTTTTTGGATCATGCGATAGTGTTTTTCAATACGAATTCATTAACCTGCAATTTATTTACCCGATTTTCATTAGTTTTCAAGATATAGCGCTTGGAAATTTACTGATTTTCGGCGAAGACGTCTCGGCTTGAGTGGCAAGTCATAAAAGCGGCCCTATTGTTGCGCTGTTTGACTCCGCCTGTTGAAACCGATAGCAAGGGTCTACGCTCGGAACGGCAGGCCCGAAGAGTCAGAAACATGAAAAGTATTGTCCATCACGATTTAAGTTTGTCGCATCGAGGATGGTGATGTCGCTAATAATTTGGATGATTGGAACATTCATTTAAATGTTTTAGCTGAATTTTATTATACAAAAAATTTCGGACAAAGACAGTGTTATCTATCAGTCAATAACATTTGTTTTGTTTGTTTTAGCTTCTGTTAAAATTATTTTTGTTGAAGTGGATCTTCTGTAGTCCATAACTGTTTATATAGCCTCTATCAGCAGTTGTTCAAGATGTTTTCTTATTTTCTAATTACAGGGGATGTACCACATGATGTCATGTGGGGATCACAGCCCCCCCTCCCATGTAACCCTCAGAAACTTTTTGCTATTCCATGAATGAAAACCTTGAGTTATAACCTTCAGGGAATAAGTTTTGAAATTTAGTTTGTTATCCACATGGGTACCATGGAATCTTACAACTGGTTTATTGCCAATAGTATGATTACTGATTCGTATTTCTATTTGTATTGATTTTCTGGGGGAGTTGCCATAGGCAAGTAATTTCATTTTAATGGAGGATAGTTGTAAACCTAGTTTTTCAATATTTTCTTGAATAACCTGGACAACATTTTCGAGATAGAATGATGCATCCTCTAGACTAGTGTTTTGAGCAGTGATGCCAGATTGAGCACCGGATGCAATACTCACCTATGCCAGATCACGCGTACGTGAGCTCGTGGAGTTCCGGAGAGTCGACAAAGGCAAACTGACGCATGCCCCCTTTCTCGATTCTCCGAAGCTGCCCGAAGTAATTTCGGACCGTCTCGTGGGAGTCGAGAGAGGAAGGCTCATTTGCCTTCTCGCACTTGAACAACTGAAATTCGACCACACGTCGACGGCATACGATTCCAAGTCTCGACTGGACAGGTATTTTTTATTTTCCGACCTATGTATGTAGACGAACATAAGCAAGATACTATAATGAAAAAAATTTTTTGAATTCTCACGTATGCGTGATCTGGCGTAGTGTGAGTAGTGCACCCGGTGCTCAATTTGGCATCACTGCAGCTACCCCCTATCGATTGTTCCCAAATTTTGGTTTTTGATTTTTAATAATTTTGTTTGACGCCCTACAGAAAAGTTGTCTAATACTTTTTTGTAGGTACCCATGCTCTATATCAGAAAAGCTCTACTTCAGAAAAAAGTTTCATTGAAATACATTCACTATCGTAGGAATTATGGCCGTTTGAAAATTGGACCACTATTATGGGGTTTTTCTCACTTTACGTGGTCAAGGAACAAGTTTTCGAATATTTTTGGAATTTCTACATGTTCTCCGCCAAAATACGCGTCGTTTGCATGTTGAAAAATTAAAATCGCCCAATCCGTTCAGAAGTTATGATGTTTTTTTAAAGATACACGTGAAATTTCGGGGAAGCATTTCTGGCCCCAGGTTAGATTTTCGATATGGAATTTTTTTCTCAAAAGTACGTAGGATTTCGGGGGTATGTCTATCGACTAAAAATGCTTGTAATTGACCCTTGCAACTAAATATAAAATAAACATAGTTCAAAGGAACAGACATTCAATAGATGGTCGAGGAGCGTATACAGAAGTAGAAGAGTCGATCGAATACTTGCGAGAGAGCGGTCCCTCTGCTGGCGATTGCGGAAGGTGTCGTCACACATTCGAATTTTGTTGTATTATTATTACAAATTTGTTAAATTTCCGTACATTCAAAAGTACGTTTGTAAGTAGTTTTGCATCTGTAAGAATATTATTAACGTGGTGAAAGAGGAATTGTATTTGTCATCGATGGAATGAGGGAGCTGGAGTGATTTTTTTGCTAAAAATAAACCCAAACACGTTCTTATTCGGGCAATTTTTAATTATGTTCGTAGTTGAAAATTTGATAGAAATAATCCAAAGGGTATATAAAAATAATCCAAATATAGTGGTGTTTCAGAAAACCCTAGCCGATTCATTGATATCGATAAAAATTAATATTATGCTACGTAATATAAACAAATATAAATGTTTTTAGTTCACATTAATAACTGTAACATTGATACACGCGCGACACTACTTTAAATTTCGATCAGTTGCTGGTCGTTCTTAAATTCTTAAATTATAATTCACATTTTAAAAATTTCCGATTATACTCTGCGAGATGTTATCAATGTGAAAATAGAGTTACATGTACTGGATGCGTCAGTATAAAATTTTAATAAAAATAGTATCGTTGATAGTAAATAAATGTTAACAAACAATAACAACAATACTAAAAGGCGGAACGAAGCTAAAACGTTGTACATATTGCAAAAAATATGTTTCGCAAAAACAACTTGTGCGTATGTTCCGTAATCGGCTTCATTAAAATAGAATAGAAAAGAAAAAGGATACTGTCCATGTTTTACGATATAAAAACATTATTGATAATATAGATTCAATACAATTTTAACAGAAATATGTAACACTGTTCGTGTCATTTGAGCAAAATAATTACTATTTATTAGTTAAAATCTGACATAGGATGTTGCGACGAATCGTATTTCTTTGAACGCCTTAAATAGCCGCCTCTTTTAAATGCGGTATACGTTTTCTATTGTGATCGTCGTATCGTTGCGCATTTCGAAATGGAACCGTAGAAAAAAGTGCATTGATCGTGATTAAGAGATTGGTCGAATATTTAAGTGCACGGTAAGATGCCTCGTAAATGAATTAGATATCGATAAGCCTCCAAAGAATATACTTTCGTGAAACGAACAGTCTCGTAGAAGAAACATTTGGTATTTGTACAGCAGCTGATGCATGTAAAGATGGCCAAGCTCAATACAAACAAATAGTAACCAGCGATGTGCTGGTTTTACAACTAGCTCTGCATGTAAGGGGTGAGTAAATGCAATTGTATACGTAACATTATTAAATAATATTTTCTATTCGACTATGACGATATTTTTTTACGAATACTTCGAATTTCAATACATATTAAACGGTATGTGGACACCTGTCCTGACCTTGCTCAATAAAATCTTTCATTTACGTTGAATTTACATCAAATTTAAAATTTTGTCTCGTACACATTCGTATATATTGACTCTCATAGTTGAGTTAATATCTAATTTATTGTTTTATTGAGATTTATCTGATAACATATTTTATTCGAGTTTTTTAACATAGAAAAATTAAAAATTAGTTTTGCTTATAATTCATGTTATATGAAAGCTTTAAAAATTTTAAATTGTAACTTTATTATTTATGGTAGCTTTATTAATTATTCTGGCTTTACCTCTGTAACTTTAAAAATCAATTGTTTCTTCTATAATGTTTTTCCATTTATAGGCAGATGCTAAGAAAGTTTAACTTGTCACTGTCCAAAAAATGGCTTATGATCCACGTAATATTAAATATTCATCAGAGATTCACAACCACCAACATAACCAGTCTAATATGACTGGGTATGCATATTCTGGGCATCAACCGCAACATGTTCAACAAATAGATGAAAATAGAAACGAGAATAATTGTGGAAATAAAGAAGCATGTCCGCAGATATCCCATCAGTCGTCTGGAACGCAAACCATTCAAAAAGTAGATGCAGCAACAATGACAGATCCTTTACAAATAGATTTCAGGCTTACGTCTGAATATTTAGCACGGTGTTCTAGTACATTAGGCTTACCATATGTAATTAAATACGAAGAAAACAGCAATAATTCTACGCATAATTACCAAGAGGTTCGGCCAAAAATTGAATTTGAAGTTGAACCACAATATATCAATGGTAAGTGCTTATGCAGAAGTTTAATACAAGTTAAATATGATTTATTTAATGTTATTTTATGCTTTAATGTAATTATTATATATGTTCAAGGTATGTTAATCTATCATTGTCCAGAATGTGCGTACAAGTTTGAAGCTCGTGAAGCATTGCACGAGCACCTTGAAGTTCATAGACAGCGACCTCACATCTGTGATATTTGTGGTGCAAGTTTAAAGCGTAAGGAACATTTAGACCGTCACAAACAAGGTCACAATAAGGATAGGCCTTATCAGTGTAACATGTGTTGCAAAGCATTCAAACGTAACGAACACCTTGCTCGTCACATGATTATTCACTCAGGTAGTAAAAATCAAGTTTGTACAGAATGTGGCAAAGCCTTTTATAGAAAGGATCACTTAAAGAAGCACTTCCAAAGTCATAATAGTAGCAGAGGCAAAAATACAAACAGTTCTCAAAATAATCAGAATAGCCAAAATAACGGCGAAGAAGGATTGAGCAGTTTTGCAATGATGATGAGGCAGGCTGGGCCACCTCCGTTTTCTATTTTGCGAACTTAATACATTTTTACCTTGATCTTAGACCAAGATCATTTTATAATTTAGATAATTTAAATTTAAGAGATTAATACAGCGAGCTTTATTGGAGACACTTTCAGGATATAACGAAGTAGTTGTTGACAGTTTTGAATTTTGCAGTTATATTAGTCGTGAAACTTTCAAATAGTGCATTAATAAGAAACAGGCTCTAAAGTATCCTTGCAGATTTTATATTTCTCTTTCTAATACGCCTCTAATATGCACAATGTTCTTAAAGTGAGAATGTACCTGTTAAGAACAGTTATTTGATATATGTATATAGTATGTGTATATATACACACATATATATATATATATATGTAGGTGTGTATATATATACATATATACACGCATGTACATGTAGGATGGAACAGAAACTCTGTCCACCTGAAATATTTCCGTTATTTTTAGGTATAGGGAAAAAATGTTGTATAAAAAACTTGTACGGCATCACGGGGGAACGTATTATAGTAACGTTAGTTTTTTTTAGTAGAAACGCTAAGGAGATCTCAAGGTCAATTTCATTTTTTAAATGGATCCTTATAGTTTTTTTTATCCTTAGTGTCATAGCGGCTATTTAGACCATTTCAACGAACTACAATACTACATCGTGCAAAGTCATGGCAGATCATAGACAATGGTGGAGCAATGCCATCAAAAGTTATACGACATAAAGATACGTATTATGGTAGCGTTAGTGTACCGAGGATGTAGAGGAGATCTGAAGGTTAACTTCACATTTTTAAATGAAACCTCATTTTCATAAGGTTTCATTTAAAAAATGTTATATACATGTATAATATACTTGTACACTCCGTACACAGGGCGTTCGTTCGACAAACAGGTGTCAGGAACATCAAGGGTTAATTTTACATGTCAAAAAAAAAAGAAAAAAAAAGAAAATGAAAATTAAGAATATTGAAATTGTGTTCAGGACTTCCGGTCAAACTATTTGACTATTAGAAAACAAGTATGTTGCTTAATTTGCGAATGTACAAATATGTATATATCTGTTAATAATATTTAATATCTGTTTCAGTAAAACTTTTTCTGATTAGATTTTTGATAATATTGGTTCATGGATAATGATGATTAACTCTCGTAGTTTTCTAGGTTTTCCAACGAATATTCGTTACGTGTAATCATTTAAAAGAAATATTTTAAATATAATAACTTTGACACGAAGTCTTAAACATAGTTCCCTCTTATTTTGACATATAGAAACTCCTTAAAGTTGCTAACACTTGATATTATTTTAATAACATTGATATAAATCAAAGCTTTTGTATAATTTAACACAAGATAAACAAGTCTAGTTCTGTTTCATTGTTTCTCCAGTTCACATTTTGAATACTATCCGACATATACGATGGCGATAAAAAAAAAAAAGTAAAATGATAGAATTTGTTGCGCCGCGCTTGACTCTTTCGTCGACCGCGATACGATACTCCAAGTGTATTGTATACACTATGCCTAAGTATATGCGGATGAATTACAGAATACTGAAGACTGATACGATTTTGGAATGTGTATTTTTCAAGAGCTCGATGACGACCGACCTTCATATTGGTCGGCTATAAAAATGATATGAAATCTAAGGGTTTATTGATTAAGGAGACGTGAAATTTACTCAGTGGACGAAGTCTATAGCACTCCATAGTGGGAGTTGTTGTTTGAGAAAAATGTTAATAACTCTTGACCCGTACGTATCACAAAGCGACAGCGCGTCCAAGACCACTGTTTATTGTGCAGATATGAAATCTATGAACTGGGTACAATAAATTCAGGTTACTGGCGAGAAGCAGCCTGTACGCAACGGTTATGAGAGGCACTTTGGTAAAGAGCTCCTTAATCCCTTAGATTAGGCGGTTTTTGACATCGCACACATATAAGCGACTGAACAATAAGATTCCGTGACGGAACACAATGTCTTCTTTTGCAACTTTAAGAGATATTAATGTATCTGTTAGATACGTACTATTCTATTATTTATAAATTGACCTAGTCTTCTTTGGAAAAAAACGCGTGACAATTTTTAAATGTTTTCTTTTACAAGAAAAAAAGATGCAAATATTATGTGATGTAGTACAGAAACGATTCTTGTTACGCGCAAAATATTTGGAAAAAAATGCGTACGTATTTGCTATTGAGCGTGTGCGAACGTTATCCAAAAGGGAAGTTAATATACATGGTTTTGTTTTCTGCTAAACTGATGGCATCAACTTCTTGAAACATGTGCCTAAAAGAACAGCATAATAATTACATTCATTGAGAAAATGATATGAAATTAATGTTAAGCATAGACCAGTGAGATTTTTATTTCTAGCAGGAAAGGAGCATTGCAAAATATACGCTTCTGACAAGTAAAACGTCTTACAAATATAGTTTATTAACACTTCTTGAAACGATCATTTTAAGTATAAGATTTAAGATTTTATTTTAAAATCTTGTTGTAAATTGAAATTCTAACAAACGAAGCGGTTTCAATTGAACCTTTCTCCAAATTTTAAATTATGAGAATGTTGATGAAATTTTCACAATTTAATTCACCTTTAAAGGGTGAAGTAATTAAATTGTTTAATGTTTCTTTGCGATGTTCCTTGTTTGAAGCTAAACAATGTTCATCTGTTTTGGCAATAGCATGTGCATTGCTACAGAGCGATTAAATACTGGAATAAAATCACGTTAATCGATAATTTAATATTTATACTTTACGATGTGTGTATGACAGTGTTGGTATGTGTTTTATTGGTGTGTGTATATGTATAAGAATGTGTATAATATACAGATTGAAGCAGAAACTCTATGCACCTGAAATATGTCCATTATACTCGGTCATAGAAGAAAATGTATACAAAAGTTATACAACATAAGGAGGAACATATTATGGTAGCGTGTTCTTTCGGATGGATGCATAGACGTTTCAAGGTCAACTTCATTTGTTTAAATGGAATCGCATACTTCAATATTCTTAGTATATTAGTGACTATTTAGATGATTTGAATAAACTATAATCTAAGGTCATTCAAGGTTATGACAAAACGAAGATGATAAATTGATAATCTCGATTTTGTTGCGTTATCGATTCAGTTTATAACACGCGTATAAATAGATAAATAATAAAGCTTATGAATAGCGAATTCCTTGAGTTGACCTTAGGAAACAGTAATCCTTTTTGAATCGTATATAATTTTGCCAATGGGCCCAATAACAAATACAGACCAATCATACATTTTTCCCTATAATATTAATCACCGATGGTACGACGTTTACCGATTACGGAAATGTAAATTGACGTAATATGCGCTGCTGGGAAATTGAAAATTGCCACTGGTTACATTTTACGATAATAGTCGGTCGAATGTGAAAACTTTAAACTTTTATTGCTTAGAATTTTATTAGAAAATGTACAGCCGAATCATCCGCAAGATAATGTGATACAAACATGATATTCTCAATATCTTTCACAAGAGCGATGGCTTGATATCTAAGAAAGTGATAAGTATTTTTGAGAAATTCAAAAATAGGTTTAATGTACACATACAATAGCACGACGCAATTACCTAATATTGTGTGAAATCTTGTTTATTCTGGAGTATAGACTCGCAACAAGTTGGCATGTTTTTGACAAGCTTTTCTCCGCATAATTACTTTAATGAAAATATGTATGCTTTCCATGTAGTTTTAACTTCATAATAGCTTGCACATTTTCTATAGAATTTGCATCGGGTGACTGTGAAGGACAATCTAAGACTTGAGTTCTTTTTTTCCATGTCGTACACAGATGACTACGGTGTTTTGGATCGTTATCTCCAAACTGGGGAAACAAAGCATCCCAAAACATGAATGTCTTAGATTGGCCTTCGCACTCGCCTGATGCAAACCTTATAGCAAATGTGTGTGGGCTATTGTAAAGTTAAAACTACGTGGAAAGCATATGTATTTACACTGAAGCAATTATGTCGTCGAATAAGGAGGATATGGAGTGTGCAATCTGTTGTGAGGCTATATATTCTAGAATAAAAGAGATTCCATACAATATTAGGTAATTGCGAATTTTTCAAAAATACTTATTACTCTCTTTGATATGAAGCCAATGCTCTTGTGTAACATACTGTAATTTTATGGTGACGTATTTGTCACATTAACACATTAACTGCCTTGGTGTTTATTCACATTATAATGTAAAAAATGGAAATATTTGTTAATTTAGTGATGTACCCTGTTATTTTATAGCACTTCTGATGGCAGAAGCGTTATTTAAAATTGTTCAAGTATTAAGAGTTTCTTACTGTAAACGATTTTGAAATATGTATCTACCGGTTACTAATAGCCACCATGAGAATCAATGTGTTATTGTGTACAAAGAAAGACCGACAATACCAGAGAATATGAGGCAGAGTATTGTTACGGCGTGTGTTGGAATGAATTCCGAAATTAAGATTGCACCATTGTATCAATGTAAGGATCATTATTTTGAGTATTTGTTACAACGTAGTAATCGTTACTTCACCATTTTCCATAATCTTCTGTGACCTTTAATGTGATCCAAGTAATCGACATTGCAACAAGGATAAAAAAATACGAGATTTTATTTAAAAAAAAATGAAGGTGACCTTGAAATTTCCTCCGCGTTTTCACCCGAAACGAATTAACGTTAACCTGATACTTTTGTACAAAACATTCTTTCTGCGCCAAAAAATGACGGAAATATTTCAGGTGGGCAATGTTTCGATCCCGTTCTGTATATGAAATGTCATTATATGTCTACACATTATATATTACATGCGCATTTACATATAATATTGTTATGTCCTTTTTCCCTTGTACATTATTTATATTTATTAAGAAAAACCGACCATATATCGGCTTTATTATAATAATGCTTCCAGAGTGTATATAATTGTACACACACACACACACACACACACACACACACAAACACATGAAATATGGTTAAAAAAAAAAACAAAAAAAAAATAAACGTTTTGTTATTGGTTGTAGTAATTATAATTAAAGTAATAAATCATTATTATATAAAATTATAAATTGTTTGGAACTAAAGCTATGCAATTGTCATTAACTGGATAAGGAAAACGGAGGGATTATAAATGACAACAGTCAGTAGATCATTTTCTGATTTGATTTTTCATACAATTTTTATATATACATATATATATATATATATACGTATATATATATATATAGATAGTTATATTATATAGGGTATTACATAAAGCAGCAGTGGGAAATGTTCGAAAAACGTTCACAAACTTTAAACTTCTATCCTCGCAGCCTAAATTCGTCTGTCTGTATTTATACCTATGTCTCTCTTATACATTTCGTTTCGCTTACTACGTTAAGTCTTGCTGTTTTTCAAATCGTGCTTCTTTCCTCGTCTTAGGTTTCTGAAGATTACATGTTTTATGTACTCTATACAAAAATAAAACATTGAGATCATCAGAGGGATCGCATAGTTATACAGAATTTTTCTTATTAGTTCTCTCTCTCTCTCTCTCTCTCACTCTCTTTCTCTTTCTCTCTCTGTCCCTTTATTTTGCCTTATTTTGTTGTCGTTCCTCCTATATGTTTCTTCCCCCTTTTCTTCTCGACTGTTGTTATTTTTTCTGTTTTGATTTGCACATTATGACGAATGAACGGTATTTTACTTTTGTACCTTGGAAGACTGCAGTACAAATGTTTAGATGCAAAA